CTTTGTGTGTGTGGGTGTGTGTATCAAATAATAATAATAATTAAAAAAAAAATAATAATACTTTGTGTGAATCCCATAGAAAATCATCGGGAAGCTATTGGGCATGTGTGGCAAAATGCTACACCAATCAGCATCTTCTCAAAGAAATGCATTAAAACAATGCTGCACCAATCAGCATCTCCTCATCAATGCACCTCTATGGAGAATGTTCAGCGCCTCCATGCAGAGCGTGGAGACAGTAAATATAGGTACTGAGATACTGAGATAAGAGACACTTTAGTGACTGTTTGAGTGACTGCCACTAGAGGTGTTTCTCTGCAGGGAGAGGCTATATTTACCAGAGCCACTTTAATAAACTGTACTGGTTCTGGTGACTAGACTGTTCCATTAAGAATTGTAATTTTGTCGTTAAAAAAGTTAGGAGACATTTTTTTTCATCTGGCTCCTAGATTCAAAGCAAATTTGTTAAGCCCTGGCCTAAACACAATATACATTTTAAAGAGGCCACATCCTATGAAGTAGTTTAGCTGGCAATTTCACACAAAACCTTGAATGAAGACCAAAGAGGCCACTTTTAGCCTGTCTGCCAGCCTTCGATGAGAAAATAGCACCCTGCAGAGTCATACCCAGGGTTACGCCTTTTACTCACTACATGCAACTGTAGCTTAATCTGTTTCAAACACCTGAAACACAGCCACCAGGCCTTCGTTGGGTACTACAGAACAAATATGTGAACAAATATGTTTTGCATGAATTTATTCTTTAGGCTTCTTTAATCGTTTTCCTATAATGTTTTCATTGTCAGAGTATTAACTGAACCGGTTATAGATTAGCAAGGAATATTGAATAATTCTTAATATCTATTGTAATTAGCCCCATAGCAGCTTCCTCCATCTCTTTAACACAGGGCTGTGTGGTATTAACTTGAAAATAATAATGCAGAAACAAACTGAATCGGATTAATGGGTGGCTCTGATCTCCAGATGTTTATTTTTGTGTAATGTAGCCCGAGAGTCCGTGATTTTGAGGCTTGAAGAACGGCACCTGCAGGAGAAATATCAACTCTTTCGCCAACAAGTGAATGAACAATATAACTTACAAAAGCAGCAGCTAAACAAGCGTCATGAGAAGGTGAGGGAAGTGCAAATGGTGACCAAAACGGTCATATTCCAATTGGCAATATAGACATGGCTCTGCACATTATGTATCTGTCTATTTTAATGCCCAGAGTAAAGAATATTTTCTTATTCAGACATATCTATATCATATCCAGTTTAAGCATTTACTGTAACATATTTCATGTAGATAAAATCTTTATGAAATATTCATACCGACTGTGTAAAAATTTCACTTAAATCCCAACCCTGTCAAAAGATATACTAAGACAAAATATGCTAAAATTTGATGTCTGCTGCAAGTTCACAACAATTCAGTTTAGTGAACAACCTAAGTTAATGTTAAAGATATTTTGCTAAAAAAAAAAAAAAAAGTAATATATGTACAATATAGTGGCCGAAATTCGACTGTACACACACACAGTAAGGAAGTTCTAAGCGAGGATAAGTAAAACTGAACAACAAAAGACAACAAAACTCTGTCAAAAAAAATAAAAACTCTGTCACACACAGAAAAAACAAAACCACAAGGCTTCCTTGCTTAGTAAATGTCTCCAGTTTTTAAACATTTGTGCAGTTATATAGCAGAAAGTGCTAATTATGTGGTGTCATTTTGGTAAATCTGTCAGGAAGTGGAAAGGCTGAAACAATACCAGAACCTCCTTCTGGATGAGCTAAAATGCCAACAATCCCAAGACAGAACACAGAACCAGAAAACTTTGCGTAGTGAAGGCAGGACCCGTCTCGCCATGTTCAAGGAAGGAATGAAAAGTCAAGGAATAAGCGTGGCTGAGCAGAAAGAAAGGAGTAAACAGGTAATGATCTTTACCCTCAAAATGATTATAGAAGTAATCTGTAATAATCTAATTGTTAATGAAGTCCTAAAGAAAATCATATTGCCATTTTCCAGAACAATTGTATCACATTGTCATTGCCACTGGTTGATGAGCTCAGTTGAAAAAGAAAACAAGCAACCAAAACAAAACAAAACTACTGCAGAAATGAAGTTAGTGGGGATATTTATTCTGATGGAAAAGTGCACAGTATAGAATTAGAGGGACGGGATCATGGAGTTTGGAGAACTCTTGCCCATCATTACATACAACATCCCCATCCTGCCCGTTTGTATTGCTACATAATAAAAATTATTTTGTACCTTCAAAGTGTACAAGACACCCATGAGTTAAAATTAGGGTAGGGGAACTAGCTCTCTTAGTTCTTACAAGGAATTTCCCTGCTGCATCCCCTGCAAGCTAGAACAGCAGACACGGGTTAAATCTTCCTCCCCTTTAGTAACTAGACAAGACACCGTTCTGGAGGTACAAACTCTGACAACTTTATTTGGAACACACAGATTTTATGCACAGACCCCTGCAGGGTGTCTCCATTCAAAGTAACCCAAAACATAAGCCCGCCCCGGCGTCACTGTGTCTGGGAGATAAAGTCCCTCTCAGGTCCAGAGGGTAATCCCTTTCATGATTCTCTGTGCCTGAGAGATAATCAAGTTCCCTCTCAGGTCCAGAAAAGTCTACAATAATTCCAAAGCACCCCCACACACATTTTAACATTACAAAATGTGTTAATTGATTGTATGATAGGACAGAGCTTACAACCCGAGTTACTCTTTGAAGCTAGAGACTTCAACAGAGCTATTCGGTAAGGTGTGAGAAGTCACACCTAAGTGGCCTGGAAGCCTGGTTTGTCTCTTAGATAGGAAGTCCTTATCAGCGTTCAGGAACAAACAACCCCTTGTGTTTCAATATCATATCCAGAATGGGACAAGCACAATTTTCCAATCCATCCCAAACATGATTTGCGAATAAGGGGACCCCACAACCAATACATTACCTCTTAGATAGTGAGATCCCAGACATGAGGATCTGAAACAATACAGGCAAGCAAGTGGGCATGTTACTCAGTGATGGCAGACCCACACAATAACCATTTAGATTATAGGTCCCCAAGTTAATTAACCAAATACTCACCTTATTTCCCCTGGGAGCTGGTCTCACTGCACTTCTGCCAGCTAAGATCATAAATATTGATGATCTCAGCCAATCCAGTGCCTTCCAATTGGGAGGCTAGTAAGCATGGGCAGCAATCGCTACGTCAATCAAAATCTCTTCATAGACACAATGTATCTCTGTGTGGAGTGCTCAACCTTTCCAAGCAGAGCGTGGAGAAGCGCCGAACGTCAGTCCTATACAGGAAGTCCCTCTAGAGGATGTCATGAAGCAGCAGTGTAAACACTGCCTTTTCATTATGTTGTAATGATTTTGGTGCTTAGTGTCCCTTTCACTTCTTTAGGGACTGGTAAAAGAGTAGTGTACGCTTAGTATGTGGTTGAGGCTTATTGAATAAGGAAAAATGTTTAACAGGTTAGTACAGTGAACTTGTATCATGCGCTGGTTGGTGTATATTTTTTAATGTGCAATAAAGCAGGTTGCATGAATCATATAGCTTTGAACCCTGGCCCCCAAAATCTGCTAAAAGACAAAAGTGCACAGTGTCAAAGTGTACAAAACAAAAAAAATCAAGAGAATGTAAAACATCTGTTTCTAGAACTGCTCTTTCTTCTTTAGTTCCTCCTACAGGAAGCTGCCCGGCAAAAGGAACAGACTCAAAAGCAGCAGCATGAGCAGGAAGAAGAACTTCAGAAGCTCAAACAACAGCTTGAACAGACATGTAATGAGTTGGTCCAAATACAGGTAAACCTATGATATTGGTGAATCATACATAAATACCTGGAACCTACAGTATTAAAGCAAGGTTGACAGACAGCCTGAATGGTGGCAAGGTAGGTGGAGGGATACCGGTTTGCCAAACGTGTTATATAGCATGGCAACATATAAATATTCAGTACGAGATGAATCGGATATCTATTTTGATCATCTTTTAAAAACGTGTGTCAAACATTTTGGACCAATTTGGCATGGTTACCCCTGGATCAGTGATGTAGTATATTTCTATTATAATATGCTTAAATAGAAACAGAAATATACATTAAAATTGAATGTGCATTTATCTGTACTGTGAAAGGCTATTCGGTTTACTTTTTACAATAGTCAGTTTAATTGTTGAACAACAAGGGCTAACAGACCAATTGCATGAAAGCAAAACAACACAGGACACATTAAATAACAAAGCTATCCTGAAAAATATGGTATATTCCCATGCCTGTACTCCTATTCTATATTGAGAACTCCTGTGGGAAGCACAGGGCTATGTCTCTTTCGATTTTTTTCATCCAAGCGCTCCTCATCTTTACAGGAAGAAAAGATGCAGACTTTGCAAGCACAAAAGACAAAGAAATTACAGCAGTTAGACTCAGAGCATAGCATGGAGGCAGAACAATGGAAAGTACGCCTGAGAATAAGTAGAGAGGTAAGCAGCTAAAATCCTCTAATACCTGGCTTACAATTGTTCATTTTATCCACTGCCTGACAGTGATTGTTTTATTTCATTCACAGAACTTAGATACAGAGTTTGCCTTAAGACAGCAGAAGATCCTAGAAACTGGGAAACAGCCATGGAAAGATTCTGAGCGACGCACTTCATGGTTCTTTCATTCATGACGTCAAACAAACACAATCCAGCAATCTGTTTCATGTGGATGACATTGATTTATAAATAAAAATAACAATAATCTATTTGGGTTTTGGTTCACATTTATTTATACTTGGGCTCAGAAAAGTTTGGAAAAAGATGAAAATTTATTTTTGCAAGTCAGATAAATACACTATATACAGGGATTTGGAAATGTAACTATGATTCAGATAATGTGCTATAGTCTCATTTGGAGAGGCAGATAAAAAAACAAGTCTTTTTTCATGGTTTTGTGAGAATTGCTTGCAGGTGTCTTCAATTTGTTACCCTCTTTGTTACTTAATCTCCTTGCATTATCAGCACATCAGAAAGATCATCCACACCTTGTAGCTTTAAATTCTGTAAAACAAAAATAATGTTAGGATAACCAGGAATTTCCTCACAGTGACACATATGCAAGAGTAAAAGTGGCACAGTGAGTTGTGGAATCTTAGTGAATTTTTGATTGTTAACTATGTTTTTAGAACTTTGCCTCAGATAAGCGCTTTACTTTATATTTTTCCTGACAGCACTTGTACTTCCACACTTACCTTTTCATTAGCAAGGTGCAAGAGGCAAGCGAATGCCAACGGAACAGACAGGTTCTGTGCCATCACTGAAGGTAACCTGAAAATTAGAAACAAATTACAATTAGGGATGTGGAAATAGTTGAAAAACACTTGTGTTAAGTGCAACTGTAAATTCTTACCTTTTCTGCAGATCCTGTGTGATATTACTGAACACGCTCTCTTGCGCGACACCTGCAGGTTCAGTTTCATTGCTTGAGGGTCTCTTGAGTCCATAAAAAAAAACAAAACAAACATATTTAGCATATTTCCTTTAGTCCACTCTTTCTATGTAGAGCTATTTGGGAACATTCCAATTAACTATTCAAGTTTGTGTATAATGTTAATTTATTTCATCCTTGAAAGAACTGAATAAAAAATCATTTATTTTTAGGTAAATACAGAAAGGGACAATTCCTTTTCTCAGAGAAAACGATCCAAGTAGGCCGATTCACAGGTAATCAATAAAAAAAAATTTTTTTTTTTTTTTAAAATACACTTTTGGGAATCCTAAAAAAAATTCTAAAGAATGTATATTCAGCGAACAAATCTCAGACTCACAGAGAATAGAGATCTGAATGTCAAGCTATACATTTCAATATAATTACAATACATCATCAAGACTCTCTCTGTTTGTGGTTTGTTTTGTACGTTCTTTAGATTTTTTTATTTTTTTTACAATATGCATACTTGGAAAATAAAGAAGAATTTTTTTATTGATTACTGATGAGTCAGTATCTATGGGTCATCTTGTCTAAGAAACGGAATAGCACATTTATTTATTTACGTTGATATTGGGAATAGACTGTCCTGATAACTTCAGAGGGAGTGGGGCGCCTGGGCAGAAAACATAAGACATATTAAGTCCGGCATAAAACGGGGCTTGAGACATATCTATAATTATTACTGCTATAATAATAATAAGAATAATAATATAAAAATAATTCCTACTTTTATAATAATTTCTTACTGCACTTGCTCTTTGTTTCCTATTTTGTATATCTTAAGCAAGCGATAACATTTTCAGTGAAAAACCTATTATCAATCTCCTTACCTCTTCTGCAGAGTCTGGGAAGTTTGTCAGCAACCCCCACATGGTAGTCTTTAGGCGTTTCATGTCCATTTTCTTGGCTGTTCTGGCATAATTAATTTCTATTTTGTTGACCTGCATGAAAGAAAAAGTATTAGAAGACAATATATAACATAACCATCTCTACCAGTCTAGCAATTACCAGTTCCCACTTAATTCACCTTCTGTGGTTCAGCAACCAGATTGCTCTCTGAATAGCTGGTGATGTTCATCTGGTTCTCAGGTAATCCTGTGTTTGGTATGAAATCATACTCATCTCCTGGTCCAGTGAATGGTCCATCATCATCATCACTGTCTGCAGCCTGAAAAAAAAAAAATATTTAGACACACATTAAAAAGTACTATTGAAAGTATTTGGAGCGTCATTTTAAAGAGATGCAGAAATCACCTGAAGGGCTGGACAGAAATCGGCGGTATCATTGGGATTATTGTAGTCATATTCTCCAATAACATCTTCGTGCTCAGAAACAGAGTCTTTATTAAGCATCTTCCGGATCTGATGAAAGAAATATATTAAGGAACATGCTGGATGTAAAGATGATGGGCAGAAAGAACAGAAAAATAATTACCCGATCCACTGGCCTTAAGCTTAGCTTTACAATGTTGTCTGGGTCGTAATGAAAATCTGCCGGAAGTATGGTAGACTTTTTATTCTGGCTTCCCAGGGTAGACTTTGTGAGAGTTGTAGCTGCCTGCGCAGAGACAAGATATTAGATAAAAATGATCTCATGGTAAAGACATGGCTCCACCAATAATAAGACTCATTTGAAAAAGGAAACTTGAATTACCAGGGATTGAGTTTTTTTGTTAAATTTCCACACAATTAAATAAATTAAAAAATAAACATTTCTGGTGTACTGTGTTTCAATTAGCCTCCCAAACAAGTCAAGATTATTTATCAGGTTAAAGTTATAGAAACAAATTTGAGGAAGATCATTCAGGGCAACTGTAGGAAATCCACTACATTGATGAATGACTGAATTGAGAAAATTCAGCTCTAAATTGTTCTGAAACAGCTCTGGATAAAAGGCATTCTCTAAAAACAATAATCAGTTGAATTCATTGAATTATTTATAGTGCAGTAATAAACCATTTTCAAGCAGTGTAAGGCTGAGTTAGGGTCCCAAGCCGTCTACAGCTGGGTTCCCATTGGAGGTATAACTAAAGCAGTGATGATACTCTTCTTTAGCCATATCAATTCAGATCAACAATAGGTGGCAAGTGACACTCTCAGATAATCATCGCTGCCCTGCCTGCAGCAGAGGGGCGCTGAGGATCTCTTGTTTAGCACTGCATCAGTTAAAACACTGAACAAAAGGTCAGTGCCAGGGGAATTCAATGAGATGAAGTGGTTGCAGTGTTCCACATCACAGCATTCTATTTACAATCAGTATGGGTTGAATAAGGTAAGTGGCACGCAGGTTCCCAAGAACACGCTCAATCACACATCTCCCAGCATTTCAAATTTTTTATCCACTTGAGAAAGTCCTAAGGGGAGAAACTCGTGGAAATTTTTCGTTAGGTAGGTACTAATTCTGTGTTTTTGGGCTAAAAATAGGAAAGATTGAAGTTGCTCTGTTGTGTGACTGTTCAGCAAGGCGGTCTGGCCCTGCCCCCGCCAGCCATTTTTTTTTTTTTAATTCCTTACACATGAAAAGTTGAATCTAGGGATAAGGGATAATTTTGTTGCCAAAAGTGATGCAATCTGAAACATATTTTCAAGGTAAAATGCCAGAACACATCTCTAAATTGCAAATAAATTATAAGTCAAATGTAAATTCTGGAATATTTCCCCAAAATAGTATATAATAAATCAATACATAAAAAATAAAAGCACATATGGTCTTTAGTGAAGTTTCCTAAATTAGTTGCCCTTTGTTTGCAAGCTGTGGAGATATCTAAATACTTAGTAACACACTTATTGAGGGCCTGCTAGCGTTATTGCTGGAGGACGTAACTTACTCTGGTTTTGCAGAAATGAACATCAAAGTCAATGTCATCATCAAAGTTCAGCTCAAAAGCTTTCTTCACCTTCTTGACCTTCTGTTTGTCAGTGCTAGAATCAGCTGTAAAAGGAAGATGAAATCATGTAATTCAAGAGTACACACAGGCTATATTTTTGCAGCCGTAATGTAAGAGAGACCCACCTTTGTGACGAGGACGGAAACGCCAATGCTCAGGCCCTGCCCACATAGACATTGTGCGAGGGCTGAAGTAGGAATACTCTCCCGGACAAGAGGACAGCTGAAGGCACATGGTGTCAATGTCTCCATTTCCAATTTGAGTTATTTGGGGGCTGCAGTGAAAGTGTTGGTAAGTTGAATGAACTCAGTAATAGAATCATCCAGATTTATTTGAATGCTATCAGAAACATAGGCCTCGTGCACTATAAATTCTCCCCCTCATCTTCTACTTTAAATATATGATCAGACAACTATGTGTTATGATCAGACAACTGTGTTATGTACAGTTGCATGGTCTGTGCAGCATTTTGTAATTCACATGCATGAAAAGCACATACATAACACAGTAGAGGTACAACTGGTTTCCTAGTGATTAGGAAAATAAAGGGACTTGCTAAGCAACAGAACCACTACAGCTCAGGGTAATGGTTACGTTGCCAGTAGTCTCTGGGCACTCTACCCAAGTCCTTTGTGAAACCATTTGGAAGTGGATGCATTTATAAGTGCTCTCAGAATAGAAGCATGTGGTCCGAGTTGAATGCTTAGAGTGACCCTTTAAGAATCCAAGTACAGGATTTGCTGTAAAATGGGGCAATTAGGTTGGAGTATTTTGCGGTCAATCAAGATTGCATTCATTTAACATAATAGGGAAACATGAATACTATTTTACGATCATCATGTCTTATGTCAACTGTTGTGTTTTTATACATGAAAACATAACTTGAAAGTTTAGTAATGCACAAAATAAAGTGTGCAGCTTAACAGAGTAAAACAGAGTTAAATAATCATTATGTAACCTATATATTTTGAATTAAAGCAAGTTTACAGCTCTGCGTTGTAAAATATTTTACCAACAAAAATTGTGGGTGAAGAAAATACTGTTGGTTTTGTTTGAACATGATCAAAAGAAACAATATATTTTTAATACTTTTAAAGTACAATGTTTAGATAAGCATGCATTTTTGAAGTACTAGGTGACCAAAAATAACAGTTTTAAACTGGGAGATTGAAATGGACATGTAGGAAGCTTGTGGTGTCTTATGTGCAAATGGAGAACTCTCAAAACATTCTTACTATTCCACCTTTGTATGTCAGCAGATTCTTACCCTTTCCGCTCCGATCTAAAAGCTTCACGATGCTCTGAAAATCCCCCAAGATCTCCAGATTCCATTCCATCACATGCATCTGCATCAAAGTCATCTGCTATAGGATCTGCTGCATCTGCACAGTCCTCCTCTACTTCAGCATTAATGTCAAACACATGGTCGCTCTTCTTAAACTTATCCATCAGCGATGATACTGTCTGTATAATAACATCATCATCAAATGTAGTTGAGTTAAGAATATTTCACTTTATCTGGCTGAGCAGCCATGTTGTTGATAACAGTCGGGTCTACTGTTAACTGACCAGATGCTGCTCAACTTAAATATTTACTGGGCGCTGCCTTCAACCAGACGTCAGCCATGGCCTTGCGCAGTCCAATCATTGGATTGTTTCACTGGCTTAGAGCACAAGCATGCATTCAGAACCGGCAAAGGGAGGTAGAGCGGGTGGGACAGAATTAAAACATAAAATTGCATTATTGAGGTGATAGGGAGGAGGGGAGGGCCCAACTTAATGAAGGAGGGTGAGGACACCCACACTTAACATATCCGTTACACCGTGCACTGACAAAAGACATATTTTATGCACAAAATTAGCATTTGGCATCTCGGAATGTGTGCTGAGGATGTAACTTTCCCAAGGCACACAAGTGCAGATTGCTCTGTATGTTCAGCATTATAAGCAGAAACGCTGCCTATATTGAAGTGGTCATGGTGATTGAAGTAACCATTAACTTATCTGTTGTTGTTGTAAAGCTGCATCAGGTAATCAGTTATCAATAGAGTCTGACCCAATATGGCTAACCCACAAGAAAGTAAATTCATTTAGAGTAATTAATTGCTTACTTAAACTGCTTAGCAGAACTTTAAATGTTTTTACCGTATGGCCAATACAGATTCATACAAAGTCAGGTATGCACTTTCAAATAATAACATTAAAATAATTAGAATAGTAAACCAAACAAAATATGAAGTGTTGCAGTATTAAATAGCAAATAATTCTCTATTTGTTGGCAGAACTAGCGTAGGCAAAACTATAATACAGGAAAGAATAGCAGCAAGGTTAAAGAGCAAATAAATGCACTGCTAAGGACAGAGAAAAAAATAATGGTAAAAAAAGAAACAATGATTACAAGAACAGAAATGAAAAGAGTGTATATTAAGTAAGCCCCAGTTCTGATTTGTGATCAACTGCATTAACGCTGTAGCCCCAATGTTATTGATTTTTCCATGCAAGTGTGACACACCTCATTTTGAAGATCACTGTCCCACTGCATGAATCGAAAACCTGAGAGCGATGGACATATCGGACGTTTCTCCACACACTGTGATAGAGGAGCTGTCAATGTAAACAAGCAAGTCAAAACATTACATACCCTAACTTAGTGATCTCTCAGCTGAAAACAAACTGGAAAAGATTAAAGAACTCTAAACACTAATTACAAAATAAAATATTAATTATAAAAATGCTTGAATGAAAAATCTTCGTAAAACAGCAATAATATTCACCAAAACATCTTTAGCTTAATGAAGCAATGTTTGTATATAAATCATACTTCTGCAGTTTCACTGCTCAATCATTTAGGAGTTAGTATCATTTTGCTTCTGTCCATGCCGCCCTAGCCACACCTCCCCCAATCCATGACGGACACATCCTGCATGAACAAAAAGGGTTTCATTTTCAATCAGATGTTAAATTTAGAAATGTGTATCTTCTACTCTGTAAACTGAACTTTAATCACACACAGAAGGCTCCTGCAAGGTCTTGCAAGCTATTAACAGTACAGGATATAAGACATTCAAAATTAAACAATAGATCTTACTTTACAGAAAGTGTTTAGGAATACTGTGTGCATTACATGTAGGGAGGTGTGGCTTCGGCTCCATAAACAAAGTGATATAACTCACAAATGGCAGAAAATTTAGCAGTGAGACTCCAGGGGCATGATCTATATACCAAAACCGCTCGATTAAGCTAATGTTGGTTTGGTAATTATAGTGCCCAGTGTAATAAAACAATAACAGTTTTGGAGAGTGTTACCTATGTAGTTTACTAACTGTAAGAGCCTGGCAACAGGTTTAATCACCTTTGGCTTTCTACTTTATCTTTCAGTCCGTTACCGTACTCAGAAAAAAAAAAAACATTACGTCCTTTGCTTTTTAAAGGACAACTGTCACCTCAACACTATTTTTTAATATAATGATTTTTTTTCCCTTCAAATTTTTTTCATCTGATTTTTTTTGTTAAATTAAGTATATATAAAGAAAATTATAAAAACTAGTCCTTACCTTTCGTATATGGCAGGATCCTTCAGCCATATACATGCAGCTTGGGACAGTGACAAAATTTGGCAATTAGTCTTTATGTTCTTCCCTAGTTTACTCCCTGCACAGCGCAGTGACATTTTCAGCCCGACTAACTGTCCAATTCTAATACTGTCTGACCCAAGGTGTTTGTATTTGGCTGAAGGATGCTGTCATATACTAAAGATAGAGTGTTTTACCTCCATTTCTTATATATACACACTTCATACAACAAATATCTATTACCTTTCAAAACTTGATGAAAGGATCATTATATTAAAAAATAGTGTTGAGGTGACAGTTGTCTTTTAAAGGACCACTCTAGGCACCCAGACCACTTCAGCTTAATGAAGTGGTCTGGGTGCCTGGTCCATCTAGGGTTAACCCATTTTTTTTTTTTATAAACATAGCAGTTTCAGAGAAACTGCTATGTTTATAAATGGGTTAATCCAGCCCCTAAAGCCTCTAGTGGCTGTCTCATTGACAGCCATTAGAGGTGTTTGCGTGCTTCTCACTGTGAAAATCACAGTGAGAAGACGCAAGCATCCATAGGAAAGCATTATAAATGCTTTCCTATGAGACTGGCTGAATGCGCGCGCAGCTCCTGCCGCGCATGCGCATTCAGCCGAAGAGGAGGCGAAGAGGAGAGCTCCCCGCCCGGCGCTGGAGAAAGGTGAGTGTTTAACCTCTTCCTCTCCCTCTCCCTAGAGCACGGCGGGAGGGGGACCCTGAGGGTGGGGGCACCATCAGGGCACTAGTGCCAGGAAAACAAGTATGTTTTCCTGGCACTATAGTGGTCCTTTAAGTAAACACTAGGTGGCATGCACTCTTGAAATGGAATGGATGTTTTAAATGTTATATATTATTAGGTTTTTCACAAACTTGGACTCAGAAATACAGATTCCCACCATTATGCATTGAGTAAAAAAAAATTAAAAAAAAATCTACCTTCTGCAACAGAACATTTTATATAATAAATAAATTACTCCAGTTAGCAACTGCAACATACATTTCAGCTCCGATACATCCACAGACAATGGGCTTGGAGGATCATTTTCTTCAATGGTAGAAAGTGGCTTCACATCTGTCTCAAAGCGAAGCTCACTATGGTAATTGTGACATTGAAGGGTAGAAAGAAAGACACCAGCAGTGCTAAATTCATCAAACGATGCAGCTGACTTCTGGAAGAGGGGGTCAACCTGCAGAGAGAAGGGATTACTGGTAGGCTGGTCTGCTACTTCTGAAATTCAAGTATGCTTTTCAAATTTGTAGTACAGTAAAATATAACAATGCCACTGAGTCAGCTATCGTGGAACAGACATGCTGAGTGGCAGCAAGCTCTTGGAAACACAAAAAAGGCTTAGTCAAACCACCAGCCCAATTTGTACTCAACCATATGCAACAGATCATTTGTCAGAAAATATTTTTTTTGTTACTGAATCAGAAAACAGTCAGAAAAACAAATCATAAAAAACCCCAAGCCACACCAAAACCAACAAGAAACAATACATACAAATACTTAGCTTGTAGTTAATCCACTATCGAAAAACGGTGACTGTAAGAAATCTAACCAGTTCAAAACCAGAAACAAATTGGCAAGATGACAGGTATTAACTTTAACATACTTTAGTTTATTGCTTATACAAGTTAAATACAGCACAGAACACAAATAAAAGCGGTGTATGCAGGGGATACTCAGTTAGTGAAGTACCTCCCTATGGTACACACCCACCTCACTCTTGCGATCATTTTCAGAGCGATTAATGTTGTTTAGATTTTTCTCAATAGTTTTGTAGGAACGCTTTCTTTTTTTCCCCTTCTTTTTATCATCTTGACCTTCTGTAGAGGCATCTGTATTGAGAACATTACTAGTAAGTAAGTCAAGAAAACATAATTTGAATATACAATTATACTCCCTAAATGTTAATTTGTTTTTATTACAGATCAAAAAAATTGGAACTATCCTGCACCCTAGATCTCAACCTCAATATCTGAAAGTGAACAAGTGTGATGTTGAGTTGCTTCTTCATTCATCTGTTTTTTATGATCTACATTTCAACTGAAATTAGCATGTTCAAATTAGTTTAGCTGCTTTCAAGATTTTATTATTTTAATATTTATAAATAGCGCCAGCAAATTCCATAGCGCTGTACAATGGGAGGTCTAACAGACACGTACTTGGAACCAGACAAATGGACACACAGGAACAGAGGTGTTGAGGGCCCTGCTCAATGAGCTTACATGGTAGAGGGAGTGGGGTATAGTGACACAAAGGGTATAAGTAGGGGTAATGAAATAGGCTGCTAGAAAAGTGATCACTGAGAACTTATGTTATTTTTGACATTTGCAGGAGAGGAGTCATGTGGGGGGGAGAGGAGTGTTTACCCGGTCAGTGCCAAAATCATTATGGGCACTGGCTTGGGTACTCCTCAAGAAAACACTGCAGGGAAAAATAGCCAGACACCTCACAGGAGACGCAATGTCACAACTCTTAGTAACATATGCAATAAAAAAAAAAAAAAAACAACTCAGGTTATGAAAAAACATTTAGCTTATTTACTTATTACCTCTACATTTCCTATAAAAGCCTAAGATCCACTTACAGACTAAAGGTCCGTAAGGTGGTTTGTGGCCCTTCTCCACTTTCATATTTTCCAACGAAAGCATGCTTTAATGTAAGGAGCCATTAACATGGAAATTGTCATGCATGGAGCCAGGTATCGTTGTAGTTACATACCAGGGTCTTGATGTTCAGACTCCTCTGGAATCTGCGACTCTTTCCCAAGCCCGCCTAGAACTTTATATACATCTAAATGGACTGCATCAACTCTAACGGCATAGATTTTAGCACTTGCATCCAGTGTTCCAGCAGCAACCTACAGAACAAGACACAATGCAAAGTGAAGTCTGACAAAAAGCTGTAGCTTTGAACAGGGAATACATGATATGTAAGTTACTCACTTTGAAATTTGTCAGTTCACTGTCCTTTTGTTTCAAGATGTCTCCCATATAGTCAATCAGGTGCAAACCAAATGCATTTTTTGTTGTGATTTTCTAAAACAGAAATAGAGTATGCATTAATACAGCTCATAATGCACTGTGTTGGATATATGAGCAAAAGTGATTTTAAACAAAGAAAGTATTGAAAGCAAGAACCTGAATTGAACGACCTGAATTGTGATCTATAAAAAAAAAAAAAAAAAAAATCTAGAAAAGGGATGTCGAGCTGCAGCCTTCTAGATTTCTTTGGACTACTACTTCCATAATTATGTTTCGCTATGGTAGAGAATAAAGGAATTTAAAGTTTAAAAATATGTGGGGCTACAGATCAATAAACTGGCTTTACACTAAACATTTAATGGATATCGATACTTTAGAGAGAGTTCAGAGAGGGGCTACTAAACTGGTTCATGGATTGCAGGATAAAATTTACAAGGAAAGATTAAAGGATCTTAACATGTATAGCCTGGTGGAAAGACGAGACGGGGGAGATGGCAGCTCCCGAGCAGGGGGTCCGCCACCGCTCCTCTGGCCCGCTACGCACGTCTATGAGCAGGCCGCGGCTACTCAGTCTCCGGGGCCTCCATTCTCCTAGGCCTACGGGCCATATAGTCTATCCAGGGGTCCCACAGTCTAGTGCAGTTAACTGCTGTCTTCTTGTAGGTCTGCCGTAAGGCTCTCCATGTTATATATTTCTTCTACTTTCTCTATCCATTCTGAGACCCTGGGGGTTGATTGTGACTTCCACTTGGCTGCTATCAGGCTCTTTGCCGCATCCAGAAAGTGTTTCGTGAGGGATCTCATATCTCCCAATGGGCATCGTGGTGTGGTGGAGTAGCATTGTAAGGGGTTGCAGAGGAATATCTGAGTCCAGGATCTCTTTCAATTTCTCATGGATTTGTTGCCAAAAGCTGACAATGACGGGACACGAGCACCATATGTGTAGGTCCGTACCCTCTGCCGTGCCGCACACCCAGCAACTAGCCGTCTGGGAGAGGCCCATGCGGAACAGTCGCGTCGGCGTCCTGTACCAGCAAGGCCACTCACTCTAGCATGTAAGCTCATTGAGCAGGGCCCTCAAACCCTCTGTTCCTGTGTGTCCAACTTGTCTGGTTACAACTACACGTCTGTTCGTCCACCCATTGTAAAGCGCTGCGGAATTTGACGTATATATCATAATAATAATAATAATAATAATAATAATATTATAATTAAGCTCCTGGATCTTGGCGCTGATCGTTTCTTGATGCGTCAGGATGTGGATCTTCTCCCATTCGGCCTCCGATAATACAAGCCCGAGGCGTGCTCCCATTTCGCCTGGTAAGGTGCCGGCGGGGTCTTTGTGGCTGCGGGTATCATGGCATAGAGCATCGCGATTCCCCTAGGTAGGTGTGTCTCTGCGGTGCATAATGCTTCGAATTGGGTTAAGGTCCTGTGTATGACATATTCTATGTGTCTTGTCTGCAACCATACATCACTCCCCTCCATATATTTAAGAAAGCAATGCTGGGTTGGAAAGTGAAACAGTAAATACTCACATTTTCCTGTGAAAGTTTGATGCAGGTGGAGTAATGATCAGAGATCTGTGTATTATTCAGCTTTGGAAGTAGTGAAGTGGGAGTGTCAGTCCCCCTAAAGAACAGGCAGAGTGGCAACAATGATTAAAACTATATTCAACATGGAATCAAAAATATTCAAACTGGGACAGATGACAATTAATTTGTACTCGAAGTCTGTATTTAAAGCAAAAAAATAAAATTAATAATAATGAAAGGGTTACTCAGCAAGTTGCACCCCCAGCACACGTGACATTGTCAGCCCAGAACTGTGTTCCGGGTTGTCTAATGTCAACTCTGAACATAAATTCTGTATGCAGACAACGGACATCAAAATGTTCCCCTTGCAGGCAGAGTTGTCCCTCCTCCCATCCTGTGGGCGCTCCCTCTGTGCAGCAGTGATTTATTGATTTTTTAAAAACACCCTCCCTCCGCCTGTCTGGAGAGCGCACATATGCTTTGAGTCAGCAAAATGGTCCAAACAAAGGTTTCTCTATGATGCAAGATTTAGGCAAAATTAGTTTTAACCTCACTTGTGTAATTAAGATATAATTTTGCTGAACACTCCAAGTAATCACTACAACATGCTGTTGTGGTTATGGCACAAGAAGTTCCCTGACCCTTTATACTGTAGGTAGCTAAACTGTTTTATAACAATTTGACTTTTTACCTGGGACTACTGAGCACCGCTCAAGAGCTCCATTACATTAGCCAGAGGGCCAAAAGTTCGTGTTTTTTTTTTTATTTTCGTTAGCTCTCCTTAGCCAAGCTCTGGGGCACAGAGGTAGCTCATTGGCTGAGACCATCAGGTGATTTCTATCAGAATATGAGCTGAGCCCTGCTACTGTCAAGCTTAGCACAGAGAGTTTCTTGCTCTCCAGCTGGTGTAGTTGAGGCCAGGGGTTAGTTTTTTATCATCATTAAAAAAAAAAAAAATTACATTTAAATCACAATTTAAATGTGTTAATGATATCTATCTGAACCTATGATAAAATAATTTTACAGCAAGAAAAATAACAAAATATTGAATATGTTTCATAGAGAAGTTAAGTATGCACATTTACACAAAAAGTGTATAGTTCTAGTGCAGTAGAATTAAAGCAGCTTCAGGTGCCAATGTGAAGTGTAGGAAGCAAGGCAACTGAAGATGAGAGTCATCATATTGCAAACTTCACTGCCTATCTATATACAGGAAGTATGAAGAATTGAAATGCCAATATATCTTCCAAAAACTTTACAAACAAAGCTTGCCAAATATTTAGTAAACAAACCCCTCCAACTTTTTAATTGAGTTGTTGCACATTGATGTACCTGTGAGTTGGAGAGATGGTGGATGCTGGGGAATCAGCATTACTGAGCTGCAGGTCGATGACCCTAGACATACGCCTTTGTTTCCTTTCCCGTTCATCATCGTTGCTGGTGAAGTTTTGCAAAGTTGGTGTGCCAGCCAAACTTACTGGCTGACGCCTGGTCGCAGGGGATAGGAAAACACTATCTGGGGTGTCAACATGGTGACGGCCACCTGACTGAGGCGTAGAAATCGACATGATGGCTAAAAATACAATAAAGAGAGAAAAAAATAAGGTCATAAATTAGACCAGTATCGAATATCAGATGGATATAAAAGGAAAAGAGAATAACCACAGAATAACAATTTTATTTGCTGAAATAAAAGGTTTGCAAACAGCCAAAAGAAAACAATTACTAAGGATAGCTTTCAATTTGTTCTTAATGTAAAAGTTAAACAGCAATCATATAATAAAATGAAACTTTTTAAGGAGTCTGCTAAAGTAGCACGTAGCTATTTGAATGCGATAAATATATAGAAGGGGGTGATATAGGGATTGTGAGGGAAAGGTAAGAGCCATATCATTAGAAACGCTACAATAAATAAGTATATATAGCTAAATTTAGTGCCACGAACGAGTTTGCTGAATTGCAATACAATGAAGAAAGGAAAGGCGTTAAAATGGGACGGTCACTACTCTGAAAATTACACCACTGAATTAAACATTGAAAAATCACCATAACATGGGCCAAACCTTTCACATGCAATGCTCTGTATTCTTATAAATTTATCAACAGTTGTACCAGATTGATCCAGGCACAGACATAACATACAATGCTAGAGAGAAGGCGAAAATTAATATTGTTTTTATTTCTCCTCTTCCATTGTTCTTGGCAGAAAAGGGCAACATTTATTACAATGATGCCAAGATGGAAATGCCCAGTTCCAAAACAGACACGTGGATTTCTATGTTCAATTTTATTTTTCAGACCTATTAAAAACATTTTGATAAATATAGAGGACAGGTAAAACGACTTGAAATTTGTAGTGCTGCTAGTAACAAGTTACTCGCCACTAAAAGCCATAGTATACCCACCAGGAATGAATTTCTACTCACCAGGGCTAAATTGTCACTCACCACTGGCTAAAAATGGTGGAAAAATGTATCCCTGTGTAAATAGAATATTAATTATCCTGAGAAGCATCCTTTAAATTAGTGGCAGAATTGAAATTAGATAACAGGGAAGCCAATATATAATCTATTCTTCAAAAGGGATTTTAATAACTAGTGGACTCTACTTATAACTCAATGGAACCAGTGTATGGATCAACCGATATTGATTTTTTTTTAGAGCCGATACCGGCTCATAATCTGTGAACTTTCAGTCCCATAGCCGAACGATATTCTGTACATTTACCGTTTTGAGAAAAATCTTTTTGCAATTTTTTTTATTAAGTGGTAAATGCACAAAATATACCTGCCAGTCAGATTTTTTTTCTATGCTTTCAGGAATATTTATATTTGTGTGTAGTGGATGCAGTGAGAGTATTTTATTAGTAAATGCAGTGTGTGTGTGTGTGTGTATCTTTTAGTGCCCCCCCAGCCCAGTGTTCCTTTTCCCTTTCCTGTACCTTAGTGCCCTCCCTTAATGTTCCTCTCTCTTCCCCCCTAGTGTTCTTTCCCACCCACAAACCATAGTTTTCTCCCCTCCCATGTCCCATAGTGTTCTTTCCTTCCCCCTCCCTCCCCTACCCCATAGTTATTTCCTCCCCTTCTCCCTCCCTCCCCTAGGTTTCTTTTCTCCCCCTCTCCCAAAGTGTAACTTTCCCTTTGTGTAAAAAAAATTAAAATGTTTTATTATTTTAGGTATATACTGTCGGTTTCCAACTTATACATCCTACTGTGCACTTTGTATCTAGTTCACCACTGTAGATTCGACTTTTAATTGTAGGCTCGCTCACAGTGCTGCCTGCGAGTGAAGAATCTAGAGCAGGGGTTCTCAACGTTAGTCCTCAGGACCCCCTACCAGTCCAGGGTTTAGGGATTACCTGGGTGTGTCTAAGGTGTTTAGGAAAAAAAAAACACCTTAGAGTCTAAGGTGTTTTTTTCCCTTTTTCTAAACACCTGAGACACACCCAGGTAATCCCCAAATCCTGGACTGGTAGGGGGTCATGAGGACTGGGTTGAGAACCCCTGATCTACAGTGTTGATGACAGATGTCATTTTTGCACAGAATTAACATTAGTTATCCCTGTTCAAGGCTGACTTATGTACATGTGCAGCGGATGTGACTAGAACAAAACCCCAGAATAAAATGGCAGATTTCTAATAGAAGTGGTCATGATAGTTTGAAAGGCCCTTTATTGCTGAATTTAAGACCAAACTGCAAAATTTTGACAAAAGTTGTAGATTTGGAAAAATTCTTAAACTCTGCCATGGTCAAAGCTTAGCTATTTTAGCATAAATATGCTATTCAGTTTTCAACTAGTCACAATTTGGTGTTTAGTGAATCAACACCACAGTGACAGCTGGAATTTTTAAAGGAACAATATAGGCACCCAGACTACTTCAGCTCACTAAAGTGGTGTGGGTGCAGTGTTCCTGTCCCTCTTACTTCTGCAATGTAAATCATTGCCGTTTTAGAGAAGTTGCAATGATTATATTGCAGGACTAAGACTGCCTCCCGTGGCTGTCAATTAGATAGAGACACTTCCTGGTGGCTAGGCGATGTTGCACCTGATGCTGGATGTCCTCACATTTTGCATGAGGATATTCAGTATCAGTAAAATCCCCATTGGAAAGCACTGAAGCAATACTTTCCTATGGGGAGGGCCTAAGGCGCTTGCGGCACTCACCGTACATGTGCATCAGCCCCATCCAGCAGCTCTCACTAAAAGACTTACACATTGAAGCAAAGGCTGGTGGTAGAGGGACCAAGAGTTCAGACACAGTTAAGAAAACTTATGGGTTAAACTGTATAGAAAAAGTTAAACGCTACGTGGGAAGATGGTGCCCCAGACACCGTGATTGTGACGAAGTTATGGTGCCTGGAGTAGAGCAGAACTGTCACTTCTCTAGAAGTCTAAAAATAAAGACAGTCAAGCACTACATAACATGTGTCCCTTTATTAAAGGGCAAAAAAACAACAACATACAAATCAATGTTTCCACCAGATGGAATCATTATTGAAGCGTTTAAAAGGACTCTCCAGCCAACCCGTTTTACTCACCTGGTTCCAGCGCCGGGAGCCTTGTGAAGCCGCCCCCCCCTATTTCGTCAAAATGACTAAATAGGCGGGCGAGAGCAGGGAGCAATCAGACGCTTGCATTTGGAAGTCATTGCTCCCTTGTGCGCATGCGCGGCTTCGCCGCACATGCGCACATACTTCAGAGGGCGGCATTCATGAACGGGGAAGTCCTGAGCACACTACTGCGCATGTGCGCGGTCGGTAGCTGAGAGCTCAGCTCGCGGTCTTTGCCCACCCCCTCTCCTCTGCTGACAGGCAGAAGAGAGAAGGCGCGCACACAGTGCCTTCTCTCTCCTGCACACGTCAGACGTATTTTAATACGTCTGACGTGTATAAGGCCTTTTTAGGGCCCTGCATGATAGGAAGTCCCTCTGGTGGCCGTTTGAGTGACGGCCACTGGAGGTATTCCTTTCAATCAATGTAAACACTGTATTTTCATTAGATTGCCTGCAGGGAGCTATAGATCTCACCTGAACAACTACATTAAGCTGTAGTTGTTCAGGTGACTATAGTGTCCCTTTAAGTGTGAAACAGAAGCAGAAGTGAAAGTGAAGGGAAAAAAACATATAAATCGGCTACATAGCTACATATCTCTGTTATTGGCAACAAAGCTTTGTCTCTCCGTGATGCTTCATACATGCTCATGTGTATTTACATAAATACTGTACAGGTTCACAAAGACTCCTTCCTTGTGCAGTGGTTACAGCTCTGCAGGTGTTAAATATAATTGGGCGGAGCTAACGCATGAAACTGAACAGTCGCCATTTCTCTGAGCTCCTCACGGGCCCAGCAAAATCCACCTAATATCTACTTCCCAACTCACCATTAAGCTTCTAAACCACGAAAACTGCACACAGGCCACTATACCGCATCGACCGATGCCCTTTCAGTACACCCCGAGGAAAATTAAACAGAGGCGCAGATCTGGGGCCTATCGCTACCTGACGCCTAAAAGGTCTAGACTCGCTCCTTGACTCCCTTGTTGGAGCGCACAGCCCAAACACCCAGGAGCAGCTCTGGTCGCCCCCGCTGCCCGACACTCCAAATATGAAACGAACGCAGAAACCCGAGAGGGACATAGGAGCTATGCTCCAGAGACCAGCAGCCTCGAAGACTCCATCAGCAGAGGCCGACCACGCCACAGCGGTGCCACCCTCGGGGACAGAGAGCAGGGACATGGGAACTTGGCAAACACCCCACCATGAGCCATCCCAAAGCTTACAGCAGGTGGACAGCATGGCACCGACCACTAAAGGTGGCCTCAAACAACTCCTTGCATGATGGCGGCTGACCTTGCACGTGTACGCATGGAAATTCATGCCAACACAGACCGCATAAAGGCCATGGAGGAAAGCATCCTGGATATCCATAATGAGGTGTCCCACCTCAAGAGCCCAGTACAGCAGCTCAATACTCACCACCAGGCACTGGCACACTGGCTGACAACCCTTGAAGATCAACTACGACGGAAAAACATTAAAATCCGAGGCATACCAGTGGCTGGTAGGAGCTGAAGAACTCCCGCATTATACTGAGAGGCTGTTAACCGCCATACTCCCACCAGCAGTGGCCAAAACAGTCACACTAGATAGCGTATTCCCAATCACCAGCATGGCCAAGCCCTCCACCCCTGATCCATGGGACGTGATTGTCCGCTGCACCTCTGTGAATGACAAAGACCGTATTATGGTGGCAGTATGAGGTAAAACCCCCACTGCAGTTTGAGTACTCCTCATTAAATTTCTTTCAAGACCTAACTAGGACAATGTTGCTGCAGTGGCGCAGACAAATGGGTCCCATCACGACTCACCTCCAGTCCAAAGGAGTGCCATACCGCTGGGGAATGTAAGGCACCTTACTCGTAACCCTAAATGGAACTTCCCACACACTCCGCACACTCACAGAGGCACTTACACTCTACGCAGCCCTCGGGATAGAGGCACCTGACCTCAGCATCGATGGAAGTACCACGAACAGAATATGGAATCCTGAGATGGTGGTCCCCTTTGTGCCACGACATGGGAGCTTCTCATCAGCAGAGACTTGACTATGGGGAAAAATCCGGTCGGAGCCCAATCTTATTGTATATATTTTGTTGTTTCCGCTGTCTACATCTTCAGTTTCAAAACAACCTTACTGCTCCCTACACCCAATAGTAGATACACAAGGTGGCAGAGGGCACATAAGAATGGAGAGGAAAAAAATATAAAAAGGTGTTCCTTTTTCACTGATCATGTCCCACTTATACTCCTGTCTATGCTCTTGTGATGCTATGCTGACATGATGGATAAAATCTGCATTATCTGAAAGATGCACCGCTCAAAATAAAGAATTATAAAAAAATATATATAAATTGCCATCTCTGACAGCGCATGATAATGTAAATTAGAAAAAACTAAAATGTAAGCGTGATATTTCAAAAAAATAAACAAAGCTTTTCATTAGAACATTCTGAAGTTCAGCAAGTGAGCGTTCCTCTGTAATAGCCACATTAATATGTTCATAAGAGAAACTATATGTGTCCATTGCAAATCCCGTGTTGCCAGCCTGATCCTGCAGTGAGCGGTAAATATCAGAGAGATGTCATAGTGAGTCAGCATGCTCACACTCCTACTTACTGGGTTATTTACATTTAAGGTCAAAATAGCCGAACTGGAAAAACTCAATCCATTCCTTGCAGTTCGGCTACTCTGGCCTTAAATCTGAAATTCCCTCTTTATTCGCACTTTAGTGACTAGCCCGCTCGGGGGGTTTACAATACAGACAGTCCGGGGGTTCTCGCGCTGTCACTGTTACACCGTACGGTAAATAGTAAAGCCGTGCCCGTGGTTACATACCGAGTCCGGTCACCCGCTTCCGGTCCCTGAGTTCTTTTCAAAAAGTTCGCGCCCTGCGTGCTGCGCGTTCGTGCGTGGTGACGTCAGAGCAGGAGGCGGGGCGAGCGCGGTGGTAACGGTCGCCGTTAGAGGAAGGCTGAGCTAGTGAGCGTGTTCCACGTACTGCGCCCCTGCTACTGCATGCGCTATGCCAGAGCCATTAACCGTAAAACTAGCGAAGGGGCTGCAAGCACAGTGCGCTCTGCTCAGTCCTCAGAGGCGTATCGCAGCGGGACTGACATTTATAGTAACAATTCGGTGTTAGTCAAACACTAAAAGACATCCTTAAAGCAGATTTCTGGTGTAAAAGCTGTCTATGTATGTTTAGTATAAGGAAAGAGCCGCCTTGCACTAAAGGCAATCACCAAAAATATGGAGGAGAATCACCCCACTACAAAACAAACTATACAGATATTGCTATTTATTATCTAGGCCCTCACGCTCTGCTGAAGACTTACGTCTATCTTCTGTCCGTACTCCCACCTCTGATGCTCGCCTTCAAGATTTATCGAGGGCTGCACCGTTCCTGTGGAACTTGCTTCCCTCCTCCGTTACATGCTCACCCAGTCTCCACTCCTTCAAAAAATCGTTAAAAACCCACTTCTTCATAAAAGCGTATCAATTAAACTGTTAATAGCTCCTGACTGATTCCTCTTCTGCAACTGTCACTAGTCTAATACTACCCTTACCTTTTTGTGTCATTTTACCCCACTCCCTCTAGCATGTAAGCTCATTGAGCAGGGCACTCAACCCCTCTGTCCAACTTGTCTGGTTACAAATACATGTCTGTTCGTCCACCCATTGTAAAGCGCTGTGGAATTTGATGGCGCTATATAAATATCATAATAATTATAGTATGGGCTCATACCTTGCTATAGGATGGCAAATCAAACAGTAACTATCACCAATAGAAACATATCAAATCAAACAGTAAATACCACCACTATAAACTTATATCAAATCAAACTAACTACCACCACTATAAACTTATATCAAATCAAACAGTAACTACCACCACTATAAACTTATATCAAATCAAACAGTAACTTTCACCAATAGAAATTAATATCAAATGAAACCGTAACTACCACCACTATAAACGTATATCAAATCAAACAGTAACTATCACCAATAGAAACTTATATAAAATCAAACTAACCAGCGGCATTAGAAACTTATATAAAATCAAACTAATTACAACCACTAGAAATTAATATCAAATCACACAGTAACTATCACCAATAGAAATTAATCCTGCATCTTGGTAACTGCTAAATCCTTCCTCGTGACCAGAGTGACTGTCAAATGAGCACTTCTAGCACAATAACCAGATAGTGTGCTACAGTGGTTGTGGTGCCAAGAGTGCCCAGCACTGTAATTCTGTAAAATGTCATATTGTTTTTGCACAGTTTGACAACTTATATGGGTGCCACCGGGTAACCGTGCAGCATCCACTGCAGCTGGCCTTTTCCAAAAATATATGTTGAACTGCTCTACAATGCTTAAAATTTTGTTTTTACCCCAGGCAATTGAGGGTTAAACAGGGGTATTCACTAAACTGAGAATTGCCAGGAATTCAAAGAGAGTTTCAAATTTAAGGCCAAAATATCCAAATTGAAAACATAACTGACTTCCCTGCAATTCTCACTTTAGTGAATAACCCAGACAGTGTGTTTACAGGTAGGCATAGGCGTGCGCAGCCTATTGCATTAGGGTGTGCACCCTAAAGCACAAACACACGCCGCATGTATATATATATATATATATATATATACATACACACACATACATATACTGCTGTTTGTGTGTGTGTGCTGTTTGTGTGATGTGTGAGAGTGCTGTGTGTGTGTGTGAGGGTGCTGGTAGTGTGCTATGTGTGAGGGTGTTTGTGTATGTGTGTTAGGGTCCTGTTAGTGTGCTGTGTGTGTGAGGGTGCTGTTTGTGTCGTGTATTTGTGAGGGTGCTGTTAGTGTGCTGTGTGTGATTGTGCTGTTTGTGTGAGGGTGCTGTTAGTGTGCTGTGTGTGAGGGTGTTGTGTGTTTGTAAGGGTGCTGTGTGTGAGGGTGTTGTGTGTTTGTAAGGGTGCTGTGTGTGTTTGTGAGGGTGCTGTTAGTGTGCTGTGTGTGTGTGAGAGGATGCTCTGTATGTGTGGGTGCTGTTTGTGTGCTGTGTGTGTGAGTGTGCTGTGCATGTGAGGGTGCTGTTTGCGCGCGCTGTTTGTGTTAGGGTGCTGTATATGTATAGGTGCTGTGTGTGTGTAGGTGCTGTATGTGTGTGTGTGCTGTATGTTTGGAGACATTGTGAAGGTGGGGGCAGATTAGTAAATAACCCCCCTCCCTTCTTACCTTATGTAGGGAGGGGGGATCCTTGCTGTCCAAGGGAGAGTGAACTCTAGCCTGCGGGGCTGGAGTTCACTCTCACGAGATCTGAGCGTTGCCGCGGCAACGCTCAGATCTTGCGAGAGAAACCTGGCGGAGCTTCTGTCTAGAGCTCCCCGGATCCTCTCCTGCCTCTCTCCATGCTCCTGTGGGCTGGTGAGGTAGATCTTTGATCTCCCCGCCGGCCCATGGAGGCTTAGAGCAGAGACGGCACTCAGATAGCGCCAGCTCTGCATGAGCCAACAGGGAAGATCCGGAGATCTCCCCTGCCGGCAGGGGTCAAGTCCTGGGGAATAAAGTGTGGGAACTCTCCCAAGATTCCCACCCCCCCAAAAAAATTATATACACTCGTGTGTGTGTACATATATTCACAGACACACACTTACAGACACATACACTAACAGACACACACACATACATTCACAGACACACATACACTTACAGACACATACACTCACAGACACACACATACATTCACAGACACACAGACACACATACACTTACAGACACACACATACATTCACAGACACTTACAGGCACACACACATACACAAATTATAATTTTTTTATTAAAAATTGTCCAACCAGCCTCCCTACCTGGAGAGCTGGTGTGGACTTGTCCCTGGGGTCCAGTGGGTCAGGCGCCTGTCTCCATCTCAGCCACGGCGAGGGAGCTGTGTGCTCTCTGCTCCCTCCTGCCGCGTGGGCTGTCTGCTGTAGCTGGGAGCCAGAATATGATGTCATATTCCGGCTCCCGGCATCAGCAAACGGCGCACGGCGTGAGGAAGCAGAGCGCACACAGCTACCTCGCCACTTGTTGTATGGAGATAGGCGCCCAACCGGGGGTGTGGGGGGGTTGTCCATCACCTCTTGCTCCCCCCCCCCCGACAGGGGGAACACGGGGGGAAGAGGAGGAGGGCATTTGGGGATGGCAGAGTGCCTGCAGGAACAGCGGGAACGGCGTCCCCACGTGTTCCTGCAGGACTCACAGGCCCGTGCTCACGCCTATGCAGGTAGGAGTCTTGGGGTGGTTTTGGTGTGTTCATGGTTAAATAGTTTTTAGGAGAAAGCCTTGCTGAGTAAAAGGCATGACAGTTAAAGGGTTCCTCTGAGCATCATTACTACTGCAATCCACTGTGGTAATGGTGCTAGGAGTACCCTGGTGAACTTCCCCCTTAATAGGTTTTCGGCACCAAACTGAGTGCTGAGTGAACAACATTTGCCGGTCATTCATTGGCTGAAAGCTTCAAACAAGTGCCTTCAGCCAATTTATAAGTAACTGTGCAAAGAAATATACACACAGTTGATATTAACTAGCCAGAAACTCTAGTTCGTGCTGACTAATGACGTTGCCGGGGGTGGAGTTATAACCGCGGCAGTAATATTTGATATCTAAGTATGTGCAGCATTTCAAACATGGTCCTTGACAATTAAAAACACTGATGTGGTCATGGTGCTTGGAATATCCCTCAGAGGAAATCACTCTAAACACACGAAGCGCTTAATTTTGCTAAAGTTTGTTTGGAGTCTGTCATTTCTGTCATGGCAGATCAGCATGTTTGGGGCAGGGCCTAACTGCCATGCTGTTCAGATGCACTTCACGAGAGCTCTGTGTGAAATAGCCATTAATCTCACTTTCTGCTGACTTATTGCCGGCATTGCATGCATTTAGGCGCTACTTATAATTCCTGAAGGTACCAGAGTATACTTCTTTGAAGTAGCTCTGGTGATAATCGGGGGATTTTGAGTGGAACAAACATCCCCACTGTACAGCGCTACGGAATTTGCTGGCGCTCTATAAATAATAGTAATAATGTGTCCTACAAGCAGCCTACCAATCACAGACAAAAGGGAGGCGGCCCATCCCTCCACACATTACCTTTCTATTATCCACAGATTTTTGTATCTCCACGATCTCCCCCCTCGGCAATTATCAGGTTTCTGTGGCCAGCTATACGGCTCAAAAAACAAGATGAGTGTGCCCTGTCATATCTAATATGGCTAAGGCTGCATCACTACTCAACCCCCAGGGCCAGCAATCTTCTGCAATGTACACACTAGACCAGTTTTAAAAAATAATTCTGGTCCAAGGTCAGCCAATAATCGTTGCCCCCTGCAACAGTGAAGAAGATACTGACCTTACTTCCAAGTCCCCCACTTAGAGTCTCTTGCCCCTGGAGAAAGTATACAGACGGCAAAGCAATGGACCATACCTCCCCATGATCAGAAACCAGCATCTTCTGTCTCGCCTAAAAGTGAGAATTAGGAGCCAGCCTAGCTGCCGCCTTTATCTCAGACAGTAGAAGTTAAATACATACACGGCACCTGGAATTGGCAATGTGTTGTGGTTCCTGCTGCACGTAAACATCTTTCTGTTAGGGTCTGCGCCTTCACCTGGGCCTACGACCACCTGGCTGGCTGTCATAATCTGGGGTTCTATACAGCGTGTGGAAGGCATAGGTTGATCCATGACCTGGACTGTCCTGAAGGGAATCTGCAATGTTACTCTTCTTTAATTTGGACACTTTACTGCCACCACATAACTGAGATATGCTTCTGATTAATGCAGTTATTATTTTCTGTCTTTTTTCTCTTACATAAAATTGAATTGTTTATCTGTCTACTCTACATATATGCAGTCCATAGGTGTTTTTTTTTTTTTACATTTTATGTCTAATATGATTGTCATCCGTTTACCTCAATAATAAAATAAATGACAAAAACGAAATCATCATATTTTTTATCTGTGGACAGAAATACTTCCCTAAAAAAAAAAAACCTATAAAAACCAAAAATAGAAAGTGCAATATAGATAAACCCCAATATCTCCTGTAAATAATCCTGACTTTGCAATACTGTATAAACCAGAATCTGATTTTCATATATCAAGCAGCTAACTTAAAGGACCACTATAGTCACCCAGACCACTTCAGCTCAATGAAGTGGTCTGGGTACCAGGTCCTCCAGGTTTTAGCTGTGTTTACATTGCAGGGTTAATCCATCCTCTAGTAGCTGTCTTCCTGACAGCCTCTAGAGGGGCTTACGCGACTCTCAATGCGAAAAATCGCATTGAGCACGGAGAACGTCCATAGCAAAGCATTGACTAATGCTTTCCTATGAGCGGTTTTAATATGCGCATGGCTCCACTCGGGAGCTGACGTCGGAAGGGGAGGAGAGGTCACCCGGCGCTGGATTAAGGTAAGTGGCTGATGGGACAGCTCACACCCGCTGACCTGTCGAGTCTCCCCACAACTCCCAGCAAGCCAGCTCCAAACTCTGATCACGCTGGAAATGGACAGCTTTCTTTGGAGAACGCTTCGGCTTTTGCCACCCGGAAGAACGCCTGTCACTGTTGTGACGTGACGTCATGGTGAAATCCCCTATAGATTAGCACTGAAAATTAAGCACACTAAATCTACGCGTTTTTCAGAAATAATGGGCTTTATAAAGACAAGCCTTCCACCGAGAGAAACTCTTTATATACAGTCATCCGTTAACGGTATACAAGTACAATAAGTTGCTAAATATCAAGTCAGTTGCTTAGGGATGCATTTTTTATTGAATACCCCTACTGCAGCATATGAATGCTATGTAGAGGTTTATTCACTAAATCCCAAATTAAAATCTAAATTGCAAGATGTAACTCTACCTCAGTTGGATAATTTTTCCATATCTGCTATTTTTGCCTAATTTCCATTAGGAATGCAATTTTCTAAATTTCTGAGTAAGCGGGGTTATTCGCTAAAGTTAGAATTGCCAGGAATTCAAAGTGAATTTCAAGGTTAGGGTCAAAATAAAAAATAAGAAACTGGGAAAATTATCCAAGTCAGCTATGCTTTCAGTTGAGCATCTTTGGCCTTAAATTTGAACAATTAAGTAAGTGAATAAATTTCATGGTACAGCGCAAAGCACAGCCCTGACCATCTGAAGAAATAAAATAAGATTGATTGTTTTCCTGGATCTATTTTACCTCTTTACAATGCTAGGGACATTGACAAGGGTACAATTATTATTATTATTATTGTGTGATTATTTATATAGCGCCATCAAACTCTGCAGAGCTTTACAGTGGATGGACAAAAGGACAAGTAGTTGTAACCAGACAAGTTGGACATCCAGGAACAGAGGAGACCACTGAGAAGCGGATTACAGCAGTCAAGGCGAGAAAGGACAATGGAATGGACCAGTACCTTAGTCGCATCTGGAATTAAGTAGGGTCGGATGCGCGCAATGTTTTTGAGATGGAAGCGGCAGGATTTGGTGATAGACTGAACATGAGGCTTGAAGGAGAGGTCGGAGTCAAGAGAACACCTAGGCAGCGAGCCTGCGTGGTGGAGCTGATGGTAGCACTGTTGACTTGGAGACAGACACAGGAGAAACAACACTTGAGGGAGGAAAAAACAGAATTTCAGTTTTGGTCAAGTTTAGTTTAAGGAAGTGGGCAGCCATCCAGTTAGAAATGGCAAAGGAGCTAATGAGTTTACCAAGGGAGGCAGTATAGATGGAGAACAGTAGGGGACCAAGGACTGAACCTTGGGGGACACCAACAGAGAGGAGATGGGGAGATAAAACAGAGCCAGATAAAGAAACACTAAAAGAGTGCTGGGAGAGGTAGGAGGAGCACCAGGAGAGAGCAATATCTTGTACACCGATATTGCGGAGGATGAGAAGAAGCTGTTGATGATCAACAGTGTCAAAAGCCGCAGACAGGTCAAGGAGAATTACGATAGAGTAGTGACCATGAGATTTTGCAGCGAGTAGATCATTGGATACTTTGGTCAGTGCCGTCTCCACAGAGTGCTTAGCGCGGAAACCAGACTGAAGCGGGCCTAGCAGAGAGTTGGACTTGAGGAAGTCTGTCAATCTCACATACACAATTCTTTCAAGGATCTTGGATGCAAAAGGCAGTAGCGAGATAGGACGATAGTTGGATGGGGAGTTAGGGTCAAGGTTGGGCTTCTTTAGAACTGGGATTATAGTTGCATGTTTGAAGGGCGATGGAAATATACCAGAGGAGAGAAAGAGAGAGATTGAAAATTTTAGTGAGATAAATATACAATAAACAAGTAGTACCCATACTTTTGGTAATACAGGAAAACAAGTTTGACAGGGCAACCCTACCTCTCCCCCATCCCTGGATAGAGTGCCAAAGATACAATAAGTAAGTAGCACCCATCTTTCTGGTAGTACAATACATTTTTATTTCAGAATGACTAACGAAGAATGAATTGCTTGAAATTACTGTATTATTTGCTACAATTTTATGTTCTAAAAAAAGGAAAAGCACTTGGCACTGTGTTTTAATTAGGATAAACCACGCATGGGCTTCATAGACAACAACATAGAAATTGCGTCTTGACTAATAAAGTTACGTTTAAAAAAACAAAACAAAAAAACAACAGGAAGTACACTTAGATTGCTCCGGAAGTTGAAGCTGCTAACCGGAAGTGTTGTCTGCAGCGCGTTGTTGCCCCGTGAGTGGAGAGTGAGACCGGGCATCAGGCGGCAGGATGGCGGATGTAACAGCCCGTAGTTTGCAGTATGAATACAAAGCGGTGAGTACATAGGGAGCATGCTGCTTGTAATACGAAGTACTGTTAGTCACACATAGCTATAGAGACAGAAAGGGACCAATTGCCCAGGTGGGAGCCTACGGCAGGCGGCTGGATAGTAACTGGGTCTCTCACACTTTCCTGGAGCAGTGAGGGCTGAGCATTTGGAATTAAACGGCTCACAATTTTCCTGCATAATTGGAAATGTAACCTCTAGCAGCCGCAATGCCAAAGTGCTTCCTCCACTATACTAAGTGAACGATACAAAGAGAATCCAACGTGCATGGGATTTGTTTTTCTTCCTCCATTTTGGTACCTATAGGAATCATTAAGTTTGAAACATTACTTTTCATGTTTTCATTACAATCATTTTTTTTTATTTTTTTTTTAAACCTTGATAAGGCACATAGGGACATATTATGTGATATGTGAGTTTTTAGACTTACTATTATATCTTTTTTTTTTTGTCCTGCACAGAACTCTAATCTTGTACTTCAAGCTGATCGTTCATTGATAGACAGAACCCGCAGAGATGAACCCACAGGTGAGGTGTTGTCACTTGTGGGGAAGCTGGAAGGATCCCGGATGGGTGATAAAGCTCAGCGAACCAAACCTCAGATGCAGGAAGAGAGACGTGCTAAGTAAGTGTTGCCATCTTAATTATATTATGTTGTGTATGTGTGTGCAAGGTTGAAATGATACTCTAAGCACCAAAAAGACTTTAGCTTTAATAGGCAGTTTTAGTGTATGCATTGTGTGTATGTTCATGTGGCAATACTGCTCAATTCTTTATTTAGGAGTTAAATCACTTTTGTTTATGTTTATGCAGTCCTACCCACACCTCCCCTGGCTATGACTCTTACAGCCAAAATTAAGAAATTGTTTAATTTTCAATCAGTACAGTGTGTTTACTTTATAAGTTTCTATCTCCTGCTTTGGTAATTGAACTTTTATCACACACAGGAGACACATGCAGTCTATTTTACAGAGCAGGAGATAAGAACTATTAAAGGGCAGGGAATTTGGCAGTTAGACTGCAGGGCCATAATTTATGCATCAAAACCACTCTATTAAGCAGTTATTCCAATGTCCATGACCAATTGAAAGAGATATTTTCACTTTTGTGCCAGGGCTAGTTGCACCCGTGGCACACATGACTCTGTTTCGGTGGCCTAATGTCAATTCTGTGCAAATTTGACATCTGTGCACAGTTTGTGCTGACGACATATGTAATTACCTTCTTCACTTGAAGGCAGCCATGTGACGGTGCTTTTAAATGAAACCCTCTCTTCTTCCCTCCCTTAAGATTACATCAAAGTAAGCAAGTCCTCTCTTTGTGCCATCCACCCTCCATTCTACTTCACTTACAAGAGCTCCCCACATTTAATTTGTCCACAAACACCACTTGTTTGTCAGAGCATGCACAAAACTGAATCTTTAAAAGATCACTCAGACTAGCTTGCTGAAGTGCATTTTGGATGAGGATTATCCCATTGAAAATGCAATTTTATTTTTAATTTATGAAACACCTGCTGTCCAACAACCAGTGATGTTTGCTCCCTGTAGCTTCTCTGAACTCAAGTATAGTGCACTTGCATATCTCCTTCTCAGACCAGTGTTCTTTCTGAATGTTGTGTATACAGTGTATGTGTGCACATGCAGAGAAAATAGCCTCAGAAGCTTCTCAATGAGAGCCAACTGACAGGTTATTTACCTGTGAAAAGATTGTTAGTCTTTTCCCAGGATAAAGAGAAGGGCTTACGTTAGTTGCTGTTAATGAGAACTGCAGCTTTTGCAAGCTCTTTTAAGGTGCAATAAATACATGCATGTGTTCATTGGGAGTGTACCTACTAAATAGTGATTGCTTTTTCTCTCAAGTTTAAATGTGGAGTGGTCTTTTAAGATAACGTCTCTTTTAGTCATCATTCCCTCACTAATATTACCTTTATTTGCTTGGAGAATGTATGAGAATGCAGGTTGTAAATAAATAAATAAAAAAACTAGAAAATTTGCCTAAATGTGCTTTGATACAAGCACAATACACATAATTTTAATGGGTCATGCAAAAGCTGGGGATTTTGCAAAGACTTGTATTGTATAACTTTCTGTAACTTTTTGAAGTAGCCGATTAATTTATTCTACACTGTTAAGTGACCATTCCTAATGCAATGTTGTTTCATTTCAGGAGAAGAAAGCGAGACGAAGACAGACATGATATTAATAAAATGAAAGGATTCACCCTACTGTCAGAGGGGATTGATGAGATGGTTGGCATAATTTATAAACCAAAAACTAAGGAGACCAGAGAAACCTATGAAGTGCTTCTTAGCTTTATCCAAGCAGCCCTGGGCGATCAGGTAAACTATATCACAGGATTGGCTTTAATATGTTGGCTCCTGTAAAGTGAGTGTTGTGAGATATCATTTTTATACCTTATTCCCTTACTTACAGAGACAGGAGATGATATGATTTAGTGTCAGGTTATTCAAACCTTTTAAATTTAAGTGGATAGAGGCTGTTGTGTTCAAATATATAACTGTAGCCAAAAAAAATATATTTAATAGTTGTGCTTAACTTCTCGTGCAGTCTAGCACATTAAAAGAATACATCTGCTAACATAATTTTCAGCATCAGGAAATATAGTTCACAAATACTTACAGTGCCAGGGTCAGACTAGAGGAAATGTGAGTACTCTGTAGTTACAGCACAGAGCTTATTAAAAAAATTAGATATTAAAAAAAAGTGTATACTGTATGCCAAAGTAGGTACGTTTATAAAACATTCCAACCTATTTAGATTATGGATGGTTTTTCTCTGATATGGTATTTTGACCAGAATTTTGGAACTCTGTAGTTATTTCAACCCATTGAGGAATTAATTCTTCTGAGGTTTACTTAATTGTACTGATTTTTGTTTTTTACCAGCCACGAGACATCCTTTGTGGAGCTGCTGATGAGGTTCTTGCTGTGTTAAAGAATGATAAACTAAGAGACAAGGAGAGGAGGAGGGAGGTGGATCAGCTTTTGGGGCAGACAGACGACACTAGGTACCATGTGCTTGTGAACTTGGGCAAAAAGATTACAGACTACGGTGGAGATAAGGAAATTCAGAATATGGGTGGGTATAATACATCATGTGTAAATATTTTCATTCTGTAGTATGACTGTGACAGCCACTTTAACTGCTCTTTTCCTTCTGGTTGTTATCATGACTTCAAAATGCATATTACATCTTTTCTTAAAAAATAAATCTATTCATACTGTGCACTTTTCAGACATCTGAACCATATCTCTCTTCACGTACCGCAAAGCGTGTTGTTCAGAAATCCCTTTCCAGCTTTATCTACATTTATTGTCTTATCAATAATTCTCACCAACCATTTCTATTTATTTCGACAACTCGTTCTTAGTGATGTCCCGAACGGTTCGCCGCGGACTCATCATTGAGTAAACTTTGACCCTGTACCTCACAGTCAGCAGAAACATTCCAGCCAATCAGCAGCAAACCCTCCTACCTCCTGGACAGCATCCATTGTGAAGCTGCATTCTTAGTGAGCTGTCCAGGAGGTGGGATGGTCTGCTGCTGATTGGCTGGAATGTGTCTGCTGACTGTGAGGTACAGGGTCAAAGTTTACTCAATGATGAGTCCGCAGCGAACAGTTCGGGACATCACTACTCGTCCACTTCACCTATTTGTTGTCTTATTTATACTTCAAGACTCATGTTGGTGCTGTACCTTTCTGTTACTATTCTTTCTGACCTCTATTAAACAAATTCTGTATTCAAATGGTAATTGTAGATGTCAACTCTTTTTTGCAGATGACAACATAGATGAGACATATGGAGTAAACGTGCAGTTTGAATCGGATGAAGAGGTGAGTTGAGAATAGTGTACATTGAAAATAAATATAAAGCAGTGGCTCTTCTTTGTCTTGGGTTTATTCATGGTCTAGTTGGGAGGCTTTGTGCTTAGGCAAATAGCATGCTTGCTTTGGACATTCCTTTTGTGTTACTGTATGTGTCCTGTCAACTTCGCATGGGCTGTAGCTGATGGATATCAACTTTTTTTTATTTTATTTTTATTCTAACAATTCTATTCTTTTCTAATTATTACAACTATTTTTGAGCCAGAGATTTATTGCACCTAGGTATTTTTTTTTTTTTTTTTTAATGTTTTCAGGAACACGCTAAACAAAGTAATTCAATTATAGGTTTCTGTTGTATTTTAGTTTAATGTGCATCCTCTTTTTTTCTTTTTTTAAAAGAACATTAAAGTTGCTTTAAAACTTGTGATCCATCATCCAGACATTCTTCTCACTGTAGCCCAATTCTTTTCTAGTGAAGCTAAAAATTCAGATAGCTTCTGTCGTACCAGATGGTTCCCAAAAAGAAGCACTGAGAGCACATGCATAGCAATTCAGCAATTGCTGAGATCATTAGTAAGAGTGGAAATTAAAAATATATATATTTTTTTTAGGCAGTCACGTTTTTTTGTTATAAATTGCAATGGTGCAGGGAGAGCATCTATATCCCAAAATCACTTCATGATGGTGAAGTAATATTTTCGTGCATAGATGTCACTTTACAATCCAGAAGTAGGATATTAAGTAGCGTTGGATTCTAATATTTCTGAATTCCTGTAATAAACTATACCCTGTGCATAAGGATTTTTAGGAGATTTGATGTTACACTGTAGATTAATTTAAGTGCATTCATTTTATATGCACTATAGCTGGGTGTATGCTGCTGGAAGATGGTTCCACCATAAACTTGTTTTTGAAACTGTAGGTTGGTGATGAAGATGTGTATGGTGAGGTGCGAGATGAAGCCTCAGATGATGACATGGAAGGAGATGAAGCTGTGGTGCGCGGCACATTGTCAGCCAATGTAAGTAAACATTCAATCTGTGCATTGTTTGTACATATTCTTTGATATTTTTTTCTTCCTTTTGTGACGTGCATTTTTGTGTTACAATGTTAAATGTGAAGATCTGCTCAACTTCTTGTTAATCTTTTAGCTTGTGACATCTGGGGAGTTGATGAGTTCTAAGAAGAAAGATCTCCACCCCCGGGATATTGATGCTTTCTGGTTGCAGAGGCAGCTAAGCAGATTTTATGATGATGCTATTGTGTCTCAAAAGAAAGCAGATGAAGTTCTGGAGATATTAAAGGTATGTTCATGTAACGATGACTATTACAACATTCCAAACTGAATTAGTAGACTTTATCCTCTAGCTCAGGGGTTCCCAACCCAGTCCTCAAGTACCCCTAACAGTCCAGGATTTAGGGATTACCCAGTTGTGTCTAAAGTGTTTTGTTTCTAAATACTTTAGATACAACAGAGTAATCCCAACTGGGTAAAACCACTGCTCTAAGCTGATCGATTGCCGTTTCCATAATTCTTTGGAAATTGTATTAACTATATTCCATTAATGCACCATTCACAAGTTCAAAATGCACAGACTTACTTTGAGAGCCCTATGTATGTTTAAGTGCAGATAAAAAACAAACAAAAACTTTATATATATATATATATATATATATATATATATGTGTGTGTGTGTGTGTGTATATATAACACCTTATGTGGTGAACACATTTAATAAGAAAGGATAGAAATACCCTGTAATTATTCCAGAAAAATAGGAGAATCATTACAGGGTATTTCAATCCTTTCTTATTAAGTGTGTTCACCACATAAGGTTATACACTCGTGTGTGTGTGTATGTATATGTGCGCTTGCTTTCCTCTTTGTTTGGCTTTATGTATTTTTGTGAAAATTAGTGATTGTTTTCATGGTGGTATTTAGCAGCATTAATTTATACGTTTGAAGCGCCTCTTTTACTATGCATTTGTTTTTATTACTATTTGTGCTTGTTGGAGTAACTGCTGTATCATATAATATAATGCAACATAATAAAACGATGTAATTCTTCAGTGATTTTTTTTTTTTTATTTTTTTTTTCTCCTCTCTCTCTTTTTCAGACTGCAGGTGATGACCGTGAATGTGAAAACCAGTTGGTTCTGTTACTTGGTTTCAACACCTTTGATTTCATTAAAATTCTTCGTCAACATCGTATGATGAGTAAGTCTCCTTTTAATCCAGACTTTGCATAACTTGTATTAATAATTGATGTCTTGCTCCTACACTCTCATAGACTTTATGGTCAATGTTGATGAATATGTGATGTACCTCTGATGGAGGAGGAAGTATGGAGTGATTTAACTTCTAAATTGCAGGCAATTGAGCAGTGAGGTAGCAGGGGCATAATCTATACACCAAATCTACTACATTAAGCTACAGTTGTTTTGGTGGCTATAGTGTCCCTTTAATGATATTGTGCTGTAGCAACAAACTGGTCACATGTTCTTGAACTTATTAGACATATTTGAGTTAATACTTGTGTTTCTGTATGTGTTTTCCAGTCCTGTACTGTACCCTTCTGGCCAGTGCGCAGAGTGAAGCTGAAAAGGAAAGGATAATGAGTAAAATGGATTCTGATCCTGAGCTCTCAAAGTACCTGTATCAGTTGCAAGAGACTGAAAAGGAGGATTTGATTAGGGTAAGTGGTGCTATTAAGGAAGCCGTTTTAATATATTAAATGGTTGTGTCTCTCTATAACATAATTTTCTCTATTCCTAGGAGGAACGCACACGTAGGGAAAGAGTAAGACAATCTCGCGTTGACACAGATTTGGAGAGCATGGAGCTTGAGCAAGGAGAGGTGTGTACAGGCGGAATCATCACTACAAATGGTTTTTCTTTTAATCTTTCACACGCTACTGGATTATAAAGTATTGGCCATCACCTGGACAGTTAAGGGGCTTATATGTTTTTATGTTTCCCTCTGCTGTGTAGGGTAATTATTTCAAACTAGAATTTGTCAAGTCTTTATTTTTTTAAATTTTTTTTAAATTTTTATTCTGTATAGTTTGCTGCTCTGTCACTAGAGTTTGCCAACAGAGTTGAGCACTATTTGTGCAATTTTATTTGCTAAGCTGAAAATTGACAAAATGGCAAATCTGAAAAATTGGCTAGCTTAGATAATTTTAAACAGTTTGATATTTTGTTTGAGGTTTCAGTTAATTTTCTGTGCCTTTCTTCTTCTTTTTTTTCTGCAGTCTTTCACTCCTCGCCAAGTTCTTGACCTGGAGGATTTGGTATTTGCTCAGGGCAGTCATTTTATGGCCAACAAACGTTGCCAACTCCCTGATGGTTCATTCAGACGTCAGAGAAAGGGTTATGAGGAGGTACACGTGCCTGCCCTAAAACCTAAACCTTTTGGTACAGATGAGGTGGGTCAAATTAATTTATTGTCATGCCTGGTCTCTTATTCTCAGATGTTACATGTGAAATCTTTTTCTCTTATTTCCAGCAACTAGTGGCAGTGGAGAAGTTGCCAAAATATGCCCAGGCTGGATTTGAAGGATTCAAAACACTGAACAGAATCCAAAGCAAACTCCACAAAGCTGCTCTGGAAACAGATGAAAACCTGCTGCTGTGCGCCCCCACTGTAAGTTCAGGGCAGTTATGTGATTTGAATGTATTCATTTGTCATTTAGCTCAGTCCTATTAAGGCATTTGTATTTTTAACAGACATGATCTATACTTTATTTTGGCACATTTATCAAGGTTTTCAATTTTCTACCAGACACAAAATCAGTAAATATTTTCTATAAAACTGTTAGCTTTATAGAATAGGGTTTTTATAAATTAGTCCTTTTCATATTTTTCGCTGTATCTAATGTATTCATCTGCCTGTTTTTCCAGGGAGCTGGTAAAACCAATGTGGCTCTAATGTGCATGCTCCGGGAAATTGGAAAACACATCAACGTGGATGGCACCATCAATGTAGACAACTTTAAAATTATTTACATTGCTCCCATGAGATCCTTGGTACAGGAAATGGTGGGAAACTTCAGCAAGGTAAACTAACTAGTTATACCTTCTCATTGCATGGAATATCTGTAGTGTTTGCATTTGTGTATTCACTCTTTCATGTCTTTCTATCGTCAGAGGTTGGCTACATATGGTATCAATGTGGCCGAGTTAACTGGTGATCACCAGTTGTGCAAAGAAGAGATCAATGCTACGCAGATCATAGTCTGCACTCCAGAGAAGTGGGATATCATCACCCGTAAAGGAGGGGAGAGGACTTACACTCAGCTTGTTCGTCTCATCATTCTGGTGGGTTTTATATACATATAAATGGCTATTGCTAGTGTAGGAAATCTCCAGGCACTACTGCAAACTGTAGTGGTTATGGTGGCAGGTATGCGCTGGCATCCTCCTAGATTACACATTCGCACTTTGTAAACTGTTTGACAACTTTCCTGTTGTCTGCTGGGTGCCTATCTCAGATTTCTGTCGAACTGAGTGCTGGATCATTGGCTTGGAGTGATCAGCTGGGGCTGTCAGCCAAAGAGCGGACCCTTCATTGCTGCAGTGCAGATAACTTCCAGCTGAGACCCCAGGTAAGTCTTCAAACAATTTGCAAACAGGGTGACTATTTATCCTGGCAGGGCTCCATGTTCTTGGAGTGTTTCTTTGAAGGACAACTGGTATCAAATTTTCACTTCTATTTTTTTTTTTTTTTTCTTCAAAGTTTGGTATTTAATGGAACATCCTGATTTTTTTTTAAAGGTGTGTGTGTGTGTATGTGTGTGTATATATATATATATATATATATATATATATATATATTAAAAAATGTATTCCATTTTATTTCTGAAACTATGTCCTTAAGGGGTTAAAAGATAACTTCCATTAAAAAAAATTTATGATGTCTTAGTACGTGCTATCTGTATACCTCCATGTTACAAAACATGTAGGTATAACAGGCAGAAAGATTGTCTGAACAATGCAGATTTATCAAGCTGAAAATAATAGAGAAGGAATATCAAAGAAAAACCGTGGTGCAAGGAAAGGTGAGAGGGGAATGTGCAGGGAATCCAGAAAAGGAAGAGAAGCACAACTGAGTAAGATTGAAAATAAGTAGTAGAATTCAGACCAGCATATCTAATGGAATCTGAGTAATACAATACTGAACATGTTGGCTTGCACATATGAATAACTACAGCTGAAGAGAGGACATCTGAGAAAAGGAGTAGGAAACCGTGAAGAGTGAGAAAAGAATGGTGGAAAGTAGTAGGAGTAGTATGATGAGAAAGAAATCAAAAAAGAGACTGAACAGGAGGACGGGTATAGGGACAAAGAATGTCCGGACATATCAAATGCCAACAAGTACACCATATAATGTGTGTCAGGAAAGAATGTCAAGGAAGACACAGGGTACCTCTAGGACCCTTCACATGAACAAAATACAGAGCTCCATCTGCATTAAAACTAAGGCAGAGATAAGGTACTGAGCACATAGTCCAGCGGGTTTCCACACCCCAGGGCAACGTGGGTGACCACAGATGCCTCCCCTCAAATATCTCAGCAAGATTTGTAAACGTATTTCTCAAAGTCAGGGCTTGTTTAACAATGTGACCCAAAGCCTCCAAATATTGAGGTAGTTTTTAGATTTTTAGGTTTCCTCTGTAGATTAAATTTTTGTCCATTCTAGCAATCCATTGTTGGAGGGAATTTCGTATTTGAGGAATTCGAGCTAAGTAAATGAAACATTAGTGAGTGTACGACTTACTTGATGGAAAGTTGTGGTGGAAGAGAAGTTGCTCTAGGGACAAAGGGTCAGAGATACATGTAACAGAAAAAAAATGTTTCTAGAAGGAAATTATTTTCTGCCAAGTCCACCAAATATGCCCATGAGTGGCTCCATCATTATTGTATCCCCAACAGAATGTTAGTAGGGCTATTTGGTAGCATTGTGTTAAAAAAATAAATAAATAAAAAATCTTTCAATCTTGGTCAGTTCAGTGTATGTCCAATACTTTTGGGTAGTAATAGTTCTTTTCTAATCTCAATCTAATGTTACACAGGATGAGGTTCACTTGCTGCATGATGACAGAGGCCCTGTTTTGGAGTCACTAGTTGCGCGTGCCATCAGAAATATTGAGATGACCCAAGAAGATGTGAGATTGGTCGGTCTCAGTGCCACACTGCCTAACTATGAGGATGTGGCAACTTTTCTTCGTGTGGATCCTGCCAAGGGACTGTTCTATTTTGATAACAGGTATTTTCAGCCACGTGAACAAATTTATAGCACTAAAGTAATGTGTATTTTTACATTTTCACAAGAAATAAACCAATTCCAAACGTAGCAATTTTCAGAACTTTCTCGAATATACTGTACATAAGTTCATATCTTGCCCATTGTAAGTTCTCTTCTCCCCTCATGTGAAAATCAGCTTGAATTCTTTTTTTCTTCCTAACTCTAGTTTCCGCCCAGTGCCTCTGGAACAAACATATGTTGGGATCACAGAAAAAAAAGCCATCAAACGTTTTCAGATCATGAATGAGATTGTATATGAGAAAATCATGGAACATGCTGGAAAAAATCAGGTTTGAATGTTAATGAATATATTTTTTTGGATGCAAGAGATTGTCATAACTAAAATATTTACTATGACCAGCTGTTATGTGCTCACTGGTGTATATAATTGCCCTTGATTATTGCAAACTCGGGTGACATTCTCTTAATGTCTTTGCTATACTGTCTAGGTGCTTGTATTTGTTCACTCCAGGAAGGAAACTGGCAAGACATCCCGAGCTATCAGAGACATGTGTCTAGAGAAAGACACATTGGGATTATTCTTGCGAGAAGGTTCTGCTTCCACTGAAGTCCTGCGTACAGAGGCAGAGCAGTGCAAGGTAAGACGTTTATCCATAGTTACAATCTGTAGAGTCATTGTCTTGCATATGTCCCTACTTTTATTTAACAAAACAATTTTTTTGTGTTAGAATTTGGAACTGAAGGATCTTCTGCCATACGGATTTGCTATTCACCATGCTGGTATGAGTCGCGTGGACAGAACTCTGGTGGAGGATCTTTTTGCTGACAAACACATTCAGGTGAGAACAGTGCTAGTTTAATTTTTTTTTTTTATATATATATAAAATAGCTATAGTTGCAAACATTTCCAGCAGGTTAGCTTTGCAAGGCATTGATTGGTTAGTGTGCGATGTTCACACTAGTTTTTTGTTTTCTTATGGGAGCCTTTTGATTTTTATTTATTTTTCCTGATGATTGTAATACTGAGGTTTTCTGTAGATGCCTTTTTAGATATCTTGACCTTTTTTCTGAAGTATATCCTTTCATGCAATAGTCTTGTTCTCTCCAATTATAGAGCATTGATGAGTAGTGATGTCCCGAACTGTTTGCCACGGTTCGTGTGGACTCGAGTCAGCTGACACATTCCAGCCAATCAGCAGCAGACCCTCCCTCCCACATCCTGGACAGCTCACTAAGAATGCAGCTTCAAAATGTATGCTGTCCAGGAGGTGGGAGGGTCTGCTGCTGATTGGCTGGAATGTGTCAGCTGACTGGAGTCCGCGGCGAACCGTTCGTGGCGAACCGTTCGGGACATCACTATTGATGATTTTTATATTCAACATGTCCTGGAAGTATCTACCATTTTTGGTATGCTTATAATGGACAAACTGTCCTTCTACACAATGAAAGAGGTAAAGCCCCTCTAAAGGGATTTTTAAAAAAATGGGAGAATCAATAGTCTAATTATAAGCCATATCAAAATCGTGAATACATCTGTGCTTAAATAATGAACAAACTAAGAATAAACACAAAGCCCTACACAAAAATACTTTGTATATATATTCTACCTAGTGGTAAGGGAAAGTATTAAAAAGAAGTGCCACTTTAACTGAGACAATGCTATTATAATTGGGAAAGATTCCTTTTATTAGATGCTTGGATAGGTACATAGTAGCTTATCGCCTAAATGAACACCATATCCCAGAGAACATCAACTGGATACTTATAAAGTGGAAAGGAGCAAAATATGTCCAGTGTAATACAGGGATCTAGAGGATAATTCTTTGCTGTATATATAGGACCCTAAGCATCTTTTAGACACAACTGAGACAAAGTTTCCACTAGTACAAAGTTTACAGTAAGTAACAACCCCATTAATACTTTAACTAAATGGGGGAACAGAGATAGTCATGAGAGATCTGTCCTGATAAAAATAATACTATATGAGTGCAAAAAATATGCACTAGAGGAGCTCCATATGTACTCCCTAAAAAAGGGGGAAAAGAGGCTATGATGGGGGAATCTCAGAGAAATGTATGTTACCACTCTAGATGATAACCATAATAGCCTGATAACAAATACTCCCAAGTGTACGGTACCAAAAGTCCAAAGATCCCCTTCTCTAATAGCTCAGGACAGAAGTCCCTACAACCAAACTAAAGCTCCATGTAAATCTCCCAAATAGACTGTCCCTGATAAAGATAAGTATTAGGGATCGACCGATTATCGGTCTGGCCAATATTTTCAGCCGATGTTCAGAATTTTCAGCAATATCGGTATCTGCATATGAAGATACCAATATTGCTGATAGTGCAGACAGTGCAATGGGTGCGGAGCTTAGCATGTGGTTGGGCGGCGCTAAGCGGGCGGCAGGGCTAAATGTGGCCCGAACTGGTAAGTGTGGGGTAAGCTAGGAGTCCATACTCCCCATCCGCCCCAGCGCCCTTACAAGGCCATCCGCCCCAGCGCCCTTACAAGGCCATCCGCCCCAGCGCCCTTACAAGGCCATCCGCCCCAGCGCCCTTACAAGGCCATCCGCCCCAGCGCCCTTACAAGGCCATCCGCCCCAGCGCCCTTACAAGGCCATCCGCCCCAGCGCCCTTACAAGGCCATCCGCCCCAGCGCCCTTACAAGGCCATCCGCCCCAGCGCCCTTATTTATTTTTCCTGCTGAGTGTAATACTGAGGTTTTCTGTAGATGTCTTTTGGAGTATATTTAACCTTTTTTTGTGAAGTACATCCTTTCATGTAGTAGTCTCTGCAATTATATAGCATCTTTTTTTTTTTTTTTATTCAACATGTCCTGGAAGTATAGCTACCATTTTTGATATGCTTGTAATATTGGGCAAACCGTCCTTCTACTTTGATCCAATTGATTTTTTTGTTTTTTTATAAGAAGAGGTATTTGCATACTACTCTTGTACCATCAGGGGTTATTACAGTCATGTGCTTAAAGGAAAAGGAAATGTATTTATAGAACAAAGGGTTTGATGTTAATGTTTATGTGTATTTGATTGCAGGTTCTTGTTTCAACTGCAACACTGGCCTGGGGTGTGAATCTTCCAGCTCACACTGTCATTATTAAAGGGACACAGGTTTACAGCCCAGAAAAGGGACGCTGGACAGAACTTGGAGCTCTTGATATCTTGCAGGTCTGTTGGAATGATGTAGTGTTTCATGTTTTGAATGTCAAATATAAACAAGATTATCTGAAACTGGGGGAAATTTTTTTGTTTTTTTTCAGTAGATCAAGAACGCTATATGATCAGTGCACTCCTTATGCACAACGGAAATATACTTCCCACTTAAGCATCTCTGTAACACATGTATAAAAAGGCTTTCCACTGACACAGAACCACAATATTCTTTGAATTCAGGGACTCCTTTCGAATTTAGGAATCCTAAGGTGTTTATTCACTAAACGTTGAATTGCCGCAAATTGAAAACCAAATCTGGGCAGAAATAGCCTAGCTGTGTGACTACCTGATTGATAGAATCTTCCAAACTGACTATTGTGTAACCATTGTCCATCAATTTTATGTTCTCTATAAATTTGAGTTTAGTGAACAAACACTTTTGAGTGTTTTGTGTTATTAAATGGGAAGTGTCTTTTAAGGATCGTGCTCAGAAGTGATTTACATTTTTTAAAAATATTTTCTTGTGCATAATAGGCTATCCTTAAGGTTTATACACATTCCTTGTTATCTGGTATGTTCATGCTTAATACTTTTTGTTACAGATGCTTGGTAGAGCTGGGCGTCCTCAGTATGACACAAAGGGTGAGGGAATCCTCATTACATCACATGGGGAGTTACAGTATTACCTGTCCCTCCTAAATCAGCAGCTACCAATTGAGAGCCAGGTGGTGGCAAAGCTTCCAGACATGCTGAATGCTGAGGTGGTACTGGGAAATGTTCAGAATGCAAAGGTATCTTAACAGGTTTCTATTTAATCTTATATTAGAGAGAATGTGCAGCAAAGGAAGAGCACTTTGGTTTATATTGCAGACTCTTATTAAAGGAACACTTTAATTCATGTCTGCCCTTCTACAATTTAAAAACAAAATGCAATAAAGTCTGTTAAAATGTTGTGGTTTTGTTGCTTTGTGTCCCCTAAGATCAGGAATGTAACCAATGTATTCATCCCTTGCATATCTTCATCAAACCTTGTATATATTAACCTTCTCTGACTTACCTACTATACATCGGATAGTATAGGATACTTGAGAAATTAATAAGTTGTTCTCTTATAAGAAGGCCCCTAAGACATCCTGTTCTTGTGTTTGTCTGCAGGATGCTGTGAACTGGTTGGGTTATACCTATCTATACATCCGCATGTTGCGATCTCCCAACCTGTATGGTATCTCCCATGATGATCTCAAATTAGACCCTTTATTGGAGCAGAGGCGCCTGGATCTTATTCACACAGCAGCCCTTTTACTGGACAAGAACAACCTGATGAAATATGACAAGAAGACTGGAAACTTTCAGGTAAGGTGAAAGTGGAGCCATTATCTTCTTGTAATGTTTGATCTTGGTCCAAGAAATGTTTTATTAAAGGGACACTATAGTCACCAAAACCACTTTAACTTAATGAAGCAGTTTTGGTGTATAGATCATGCCCCGGCAGTCTCACTGCTCAATTCTCTGCCATTTAGAAGTTAAATCACTTTTTCTATGATTACTAGTCACATCTCCCTGCATGTGACTTGCACATCCTTCCTAAATACTTATTGTAAAGAGTCATCTAATGTTTATCCTTTCTTTATTGCAAGTTCTATTTAATTTAGATTTATTGTAAAGAGTCATCTAATGTTTATCCTTTCTTTATTGCAAGTTCTATTTAATTTAGATTTTCTTATCCCCTGCTATGTTAATAGCTTGCTAGACCCTGCAAGAGCCTCCTGTATGTGATTAAAGTTCAATTTACAGAGCAAGAGATAAAATTGTTTAAGATAAATTACATCTGATTAAAAGTGAAATAATTTATTTATTTATTGTGTGCAGGTTGTCAGTTAGAGCCAGGGAGGTGTGGCAAGGGCTGCATAAACAGAAACAAAGTGATTTAACTCATAAATGGCAGAGACTTGAGCAGTGAAACCTGAGAGGCATGATCTATACGCTAAAACTGCTTCAGTAAGCTAAAGTTGTTTAGGTGACTATAGTGTTCCTTTAAGATATTTTTTCCCACTCCACATTCCTAGGTGACAGAGTTGGGTCGTATTGCCAGTCATTACTACATCACCAACGAGTCTGTTCAGACATACAATCAACTTTTGAAGCCGACACTCAGTGAGATTGAACTGTTTCGAGTATTCTCTCTCTCCTCAGAGTTTAAGAATATCACTGTCAGAGAGGTGAGTCAAGATATTTAGGGATCCAAAATTTTAGACTTGGTAAACTACCAGACTTTAATCTGCATGTAATGTTACTTGATAATTTCTCTGTAAAATAAGTCAGCTGCTTTTTGTAAGTTATAATTTCGTCTAGATACTTTCATAGCTTTCTAGCCACTGTCCTTCTACATGAGCGATCTATAATGTCACTAAGCTTAATCTCCATCAGCTTGTTCATACTATGATACAAATGTGTTTAGGTAATTTATCTACTGAAGTCCATAACATTTAGGATATGTTCTTATGTGATAGGTGTAGCATTTAGTTATAACCTGTTAACAAATTGTGGTGACTTGAGTTACGTGCTTATGTTTGAACAGCAAGAATGTTGCTAGTGTTCTGACCTGATTAGTTGTTGCAAACCCATTGTTGTAGGGCTTTTTGTATTACAATCCTGATTGTTGTTTATCTCCCAGGAAGAGAAACTAGAACTACAGAAGCTTTTAGAGAGAGTACCAATCCCTGTGAAGGAGAGTATTGAGGAACCAAGTGCTAAGGTAATGATCCTGAGATGAAATAAACATGGTAACTTCAGTATTCCTTGCACCACTATTTTTGTGACTTCTGTCCTTATCCCTTTGTGCAGATCAATGTCCTGCTCCAAGCCTTTATCTCCCAGCTGAAACTTGAAGGTTTTGCCTTGATGGCCGATATGGTGTATGTCACACAGGTATTGTAGGATTGTTGTTGTTGTTTATAAAATAGAAAAGCAGAGTCTTGAAATCTGTGCCTTGTATTAAACATTTAAAACCGTTTTAAACCGAGTTTTACATTTAGACACTTGCATCTGCTTATTTCATTGCAGTCTGCAGGACGTCTCATGCGAGCAATATTTGAAATTGTACTGAACAGAGGATGGGCCCAGCTTACAGACAAGACTTTAAATCTTTGCAAAATGATTGACAAGAGAATGTAAGTACCTGTACCTTACCTTTTTGTTGTGTCTTTTACCGACTCCATGAAAAATTATTATTTTGTTTACCTCTCATTACAGGTGGCAGTCTATGTGTCCTTTGCGACAGTTCAGAAAACTGCCAGAGGAAGTGGTAAAGAAGATCGAGAAGAAGAACTTTCCTTTTGAGCGCTTGTATGATTTGAATCACAATGAGATAGGTAAATAGGATATCAAACTGGAATCTTGTTATCCTGTCAAGGCATTTCTCTTCCATCTGACTCTTAGCCCTTTTTTACATAGTATTTTATTTCAGCAACTCTTCTTTGAATTCCCACAGGTCTTTTGCTTCCCACTCTTTTTTACATATATTAGCTATTTCACTTAATAGGTTTCTTTAATCTTGTTTTCAAGTTTAACTTTTTTGTGACTATACCACTTTTTCCTTGCTCATTTTATTTTAATCCACAAGATTTGTATGTTTCTAACGATGGACAAAGGCCAAATTGTGTTGCCAAAACCTATTCCTATTGTCTGCATTTAGAAGATTTAAAACGTGTGCAGCCCCTTGTTTCTGTGAATTGATTGTGTGCTTCAAAATAATCATTTAACGTTCATTGTTCTGGAATTTCTTTTTCTAATACCTCATCCACTTTTTAAAGGCGAACTTATCCGAATGCCAAAAATGGGAAAGACTATCCATAAGTATGTCCATTTGTTTCCCAAGTTGGACCTGTCTGTGCACTTACAGCCCATCACCCGCTCCACACTCAAGGTGGAGCTCACCATTACACCAGACTTCCAGTGGGATGAGAAGGTAAGAACCTATGTGATAATACATACTAACGCATGTGTGTGTGTGGTTTTATATATCTATATATATATATATATATATATATATATATATATATATGTGTGTGTGTTCATATTATATGAATACAGAAAAAAGATTGCACTCACTGGTCTTCAACAACTCAATTTTTTTTGTGAAGATCTTGAAAAAGACCAAAATGGGGTCAAACGTTGATATTTTTGTAAACACAGCATTTATGGAATTTATTTTGAAACACTAAAAAATTTAGTTGTTGAAGATCTGTGAGTGCAGTCTTTTTTTTTTTTTCATGTATTCTATTACTAATGTGGATTTGCACCCAGGCGAATATTGATGGTATATATTGGTAAAGGTGGAGTGACGAGCGATTTGTGGAGGTGTGTGTGTGTGTGTGTTTTATAATATATATATATATATATATATATATATATATATATATATCTCAGTGCAAGCCCCTTTTCCATTATTGTATTATTTTTGGCCGTGACTTTTTTGCCTTGATTAGGTGTGTTTTTAAAAAAACAACAAAAAAAACAATATAAAATCTGTGAGCTTTGAAGTTGCTGTTTAGTGGATAAGTGAGTGGGCTGGATATTGTGTAATATATATAACTCAGTACAACTTCTGTGTGACACACTAATGATTTTTGTATTCGTTTTTGCTGTAAACTCCACACCACATCTATATCAACCCATGTCCACCCATATAATACAAGCTCTATACCATTGCAGGTTCATGGTTCCTCAGAAGCTTTCTGGATCTTGGTGGAAGACGTGGATAGTGAAGTGATCCTGCACCACGAGTATTTTCTGCTGAAAGCAAAATATGCCCAAGATGAGCATCTTGTTACCTTCTTTGTGCCTGTCTTCGAGCCTCTTCCTCCACAATACTTCATTCGAGTTGTGTCTGATCGGTGGCTATGTAAGTGATGATCCTTGAGAGACTTTTAATATTTTAGCAGCGTGGATAACACTTCTGATTACACTGCTGCTGTCTGCTATTGAGTGCATTTATTTATTTTTTTGCCACGTTGTATAACCATAAATCTTACCTGCTTTAAAAACCATACTACAACCGGTCGGCTAATGTTTGTTTTCTAATTCTATAATTTTGTAAACAAAAGTACACCATAATTTCACAGAATAGTTATATGTAACTAAATAGTTATACGCTGTGTCTTGGTCTAAACTTATTCTGGTGTTTAAAGGAACACTAAAGGGTCAGGAACACAAACATGTATGACTGACCCTTTAGTGTTAAAACCACCATTTAGGGGGCTTGCCCCCTCTCAACCCCTTAAAAGTAATTAAAGCTCACCTTATAGCCAGCACTGCGCGGGTCTGCTGGCCCTGCCCCCTTGACATCAGAAAGGAAGATTTTTAGCTAATCCAATGCTTTCCCATACGGAAAGCATTGGATTGGCTAAAATCGTCAAGGAGGCGGGATGGGGCGGGGCCAAACGCCGTTTTGGCCAATCAGCACTTCTTCATAGAAATGTATTTAACCAATGCCATCTCTATGAGGAAAATTCACCGTCCCCACTGCCCCAGGAAACACCTCCAGTGGCCATCTGAGGAGTGGTCACTTGGAGGTGTACATAGGGCCAATGTAAACACTGCCTTTTCTCTGAAAAGTCAGTGTTTGCATGTAAATGCCTGAAGGCAATGATTATACTCACCAGAACAACTACATTAAGCTGTAGTTGTTGTGGTGACTATAGGGTCCCTTTAGTGTTTATGTTCAATTTTAGTCGTGTTTTTTCCCACTTGGTGTCAACAAATTTCTTCTCAGTCTGCTGAATGTTAAAAAAAATAAAAATATATAAAATAGTTCTGATATATTAAATTCTGCATTTCCTTTTTCCAGCATGTGAGACACAACTGCCTGTATCTTTCCGCCACTTAATATTGCCTGAGAAGTACCCTCCTCCTACTGAGCTTCTAGACCTGCAACCTTTGCCTGTGTCAGCCTTGAGAAATAGCGCCTTTGAGAGCCTCTACCAGGACAAATTTCCGTTCTTTAACCCTATCCAGACTCAAGGTGAGAGAAACATTACATTAGTTTACAACTCATCTGGAATCTTCTATGGTTATGCTCACCCTGCTAGTACTAGTAATCACGATTTCCTTTTTGGTTTCGCCATCTCTTTACAGTTTTCAACACAGTGTATAATAGTGATGACAATGTTTTTGTTGGCGCTCCCACTGGAAGTGGAAAGACCATTTGTGCAGAGTTTGCCATCCTAAGAATGCTGCTACAGAATTCTGAAGGACGCTGTGTGTATATAACCCCAATGGAGGCCCTGGCAGAGCAAGTATGTTCTATAAATGAATGTCTACAGTTGGTGTCATATTCCTGTGCATTTATTAAAAAGGTTATAGGATCCTTTTAAAATAGCAACATAAATCAAGATCTTTCCCAGTTTTTGCAATGTTACCTGTACTGCATTTTTATTAATCTCATGCTCATGTATTTTTTTTACCACTAGCCGTCTCTCCACTCTTTCATATTTACAGCCCTTGCCACACTTCACCAGATCGTTAATTCCTACTACTTCTTTTTCTTTGCACTAAAACATTGGATGAAATACCCATCTCTACTTACTTCCTCACCAGAAGTCTTATTAAAATGTATTGCATATTGAAATAAAATCTGAGAAAAGAGAAATCAAATTATTAAAATAGTGCCCTCTTCATGTAATTTATGAAAGTGCTAGATCCAGGGGTGGACAACTCATGAGGCCCCTGGGCAATGGGAGATCATTGGGGCCCCCTTGTAACTACTAACTTGCAAGCTACAGAAATATACATCATGCCCACATAACGCAATGTGCACATGTAAATCCTTGTGTTACAAAAAAGGATTGCAAGGTGGGGGGGAGGGGGACTGGCTTTAATGGGGTATATGGGATGCAGGAAGTGGACAAAGGCTGTGGCGTGGGGCTATATGAGATGCAGTGGGTGGAGAAAGGCTGTAGTGCGCGATAGGAATAGTATTGTGGGATAGTGTAGTGTGGGTGGTTAGTGGCTGTATATGTGGGAGACAAGGACAGGGCCTCTAATGGGAGAATAGCGGTAGGTGCTGTAATGGTGATATAGGGGATTTGGTTTGGAATGAATGGCTGTAGTGGGGTATAGGGGTTATAATTGGGGATAGACACTAGGGTGGGGCCTGGGTGGTTAGGGGCTGTAGTGGGGAAATAGTGTAGTGAATGGTTTGAATGCTGAGATGTTTATACATATACACTGCCACACAACGTACAGACACACCGTGACACATCCGGATACACATATAGATCCACAGATACACATACCGCCACACATGCAGATACAGACAGACACACACAATGACAGCCATGTAGATGCACATACCCATAAATACACACAATGAAACTCAGCAGAGCTAAACTTACACATACATGCACAGATACAAATATATATACATACATGCGCACGCAAACACACTGGTAACATATTCATACATATGACATTTTTAGTTACCTGCTTCTATATCATTTTTGTGCAGGAATGTGGCTTCTCTAGGGTCCAGTGGCATCTGGCTGAGTGTGATTGGTGTCTGATCCAGGCTCTCCATTATCTCTGGTCCTGGTTCTCAGTCTATCTCTCTCCTCTTTTGTGCTCACCACTCTTCCCCGCAGCTCTTTCAAATACTGGGAGGGAGTGACTTGTACACACTTCCTTCCAGCACCACAGCTTCATGGAGGATGAGGTCCTGTCGCACTGTTAAAAGCCAGAGTTGCCTGACCGGGCCACTGATCAAGAGTGGCTCTGAGTGGAGGTGCCCCCTGAATCATTGTGTGTTGAACTAGAGGGGCCCGCATAAATTTGGGTATGACGGTGCCACACGGAGTGGTTGGGTGGCGGGCCCTTTGACAATGTCGGAAGTGGCTAACTGCTTAGTCCACCCCTGACTAGATCATATAAAAGTTGGTAGCCTTCTTATGATATATGTGAAAGGGCTAGATCGTTTAACATTTTGATGAGCTGTTGTACACCAAAGGAATAGATTGAAATAGAAAACTATAGCATAATCCTTTCACCTACAGCATGAGGAGGTCATCAGCTGTTGAACAAACTAGAGAAAGTAATATAATTTGGCTATAGTCTAATTTTATAATTCCTCTTTTATATTGATTCTGTTTTGTATCGCCTTTTGTGTATGTTCTGTGCATTTCCATGAAATTCAGCTGTTGATTCCACTCCTCCTCCTTTTAAAGTACAGTAGATTGTGTTCTTTGTAAAAAGCCTCCTCCTTTCAACTCTTGTCAATTTAGTCATTATTTAATACTCACATCTTTACTTTAGAACCTGCAATCATTACAGATCTTACTTTATAAAAGAAAAACATTTCAACTTTCAATGTGTATTTATTTTTTCTATATTTTTTTTTTTTTTTTGAGTTGTTCCAAGACTGAAGTACACACTTAAATCTCCTACGCCCACTTTCCACCTATCTATCTCATTATCCCATTACACTCTTTCTTTTTGTGCTTTCATTTGCAATAACTGCTTGCTGTTAGACAAGAGTTATGATTCATTTATGTAAATATATGCTTAGAATAAATCAGAAAGCATCATGCCTCATTATGTTCATCCTACTGGCAGAGAATAACTTTTTGTTAATAAATAGCTATTTAGCACACCCATTATGAGGAATTCATATACACCTACAGTACAGCTCTGCAAAATTTGTTGGCTGTGCTCTGATGGACCCTGCAGAGGGACAGGGGCCAAAGGGTAATGGGATCGGCCGCCTCTCTCCCCCCCTTGTATAGTAGGCCTCCATCCTCCCAGGAGTTCATATATGCGCTGCGAGTGTTGCAGTTATCGTTTTTTTTTTAATTTAAATTTTTTTTTTTTTTAATTTAATTTTTTTTAATTAAAATCTTGTTTAATCGTCGTTTTAGGCAGTTTTCCCCAGGAGCTCGACCAAAGTGAGTCAGTCTGGCTTGGCATCTTGGCTCCGCTCCCCGCCTTTAAAATTTCTAACCTCCCTTTATCTACACAATTTGTAGTTCTAATGTTGGCATACATTCTATAAAGTAAACTGAAACAAAAAGTCTGTAGACATTACACTTAATGTGTGTTTATTCTGAAGGGTTTCAGGAAAATTGGCAGTTTGTGTAGAAGTTGCAGAGTGTATTGATGTGTCCTGATAAGAGCTTAACTCTGATATACAACCATATTTGTAACATGGTTTAACTTATCTACTTAAATTTGATATCTTTATTGCTTTCTATTTTTCTTAAATAGAGTGAAAAAATAGATTTGGCTATTATGAAATAAGATTTTTCTTTTCCAATATTATTGTGTAGGTGTTCATGGATTGGTTTGAGAAGTTTCAGGACAGACTCTACAAGAAAGTGGTTTTGCTTACTGGTGAGACTAGCACAGACTTGAAACTGCTTGGGAAGGGGAACATCATCATCAGTACACCAGAAAAATGGGATATCCTTTCCCGCCGTTGGAAGCAGCGCAAGAATGTTCAGAATGTCAGCTTGTTCATTGTTGATGAGACTCACCTCATAGGTGGGGCTAATGGGGTGAGTACATCTAGCAAAATGTTGAGTTCCACCTGATTTCTCATCATTTTCATAATAGTGCATATTAATCACATTGTTGGATGTTTTAAAGTATGGCCACTTGCTTGGGTTGACCAAAAGCCAAAGAACCAGAGATTAAATGGGTCTTCCTCCTCCATCACTACTTACTTGCAAACTGTTGTTTTTTTATAAATATGCACATTTGTGAATTGTCCTTTATTGATCTTTTTCATCTTTTTGCTTTCCTGCAGCCTGTGTTAGAGGTAATCTGTTCTCGAATGCGATACATTTCCTCTCAGATTGAGAGACCTATCCGTATTGTGGCTCTCAGCTCTTCCCTCTCCAATGCTAAAGACGTGGCTCATTGGCTGGGTTGCAGCGCCACAGCCACGTTTAATTTCCATCCGAATGTAAGGCCAGTCCCGTTGGAGCTACACATTCAGGTAGGTTGTCTGTACCAAATTCATTATCAGAGACTAAAGACATTTTATTCAAATTATATTTATAAAGTACAAGGTCTCTGGCGATATTTTGTTTTGCCGTAAAACAAATATTAGAATCGCTATATACTATTCGTTACATCGAACCTGTCCTGTATGGTAATGTTTAAGCTTCAAATTCTAAATCTACATGAAACTAGTTACAAGTTCCCCCTCAAATGGATGTCTTGTTTGCCTAAGAGCCATTAAAAAGTGCAAGTTCTAGTAGGGATTGACCATTTGGATTCTTTGTGTGAAGCTAAACTGGTTAGGAGTGAGTACAGTTAACACTGGTAATTGATACAAAATGGAAAAAGGATCAGCGCTGTGTGATATAGTAAGGGGCTAGAAACAGGTAGATAGCTGCAACCTATAAGTATGAGGTTCCCTCTAAAATCCTCAAGAAAGAAATGGCAAAAAACAGAAATAATAGGTCGCGCTTTAACAAATAAATATAATATATTAGCATACACTAAAGAGCATAAAGAAAAATAATTTTATAATGAGATGAATAATAAATAGTCCAAATAATTGGTGTACTTAAGATAAATTCCAATGGATAGATGAAGATCTCAGTCCTTAATGTTCGTCTCTTACTGAATTCGGCAAAGGAGTAGTGTATTCAATGAGAAACCGGTTCTTCTAATACGAACGAAGTCTTGACTTGATGGTAACCATGAAAAATAAAGAAAACAGGGAGAATCCAATAGTGTAGATTGTCTGCAGATAACTGAGAGTATGAGGAATAATAGGGAGGTAACTGAGAGTATGAGGAATAATAGGGAGGTATATATATAATATACTAGAGCAAGTATATGCTCAAAAATAGGTGAGTGTATTACCTCCCTATTATTCCTCATACTCTCAGTTATCTGCAGACAATCTACACTATTGGATTCTCCCTGTTTTCTTTATTTTTCATGGTTACCATCAAGTCAAGACTTCGTTCGTATTAGAAGAACCGGTTTCTCATTGAATACACTACTCCTTTGCCGAATTCAGTAAGAGACGAACATTAAGGACTGAGATCTTCATCTATCCATTGGAATTTATCTTAAGTACACCAATTATTTGGACTATTTATTATTCATCTCATTATAAAATAATTTTTCTTTATGCTCTTTAGTGTATGCTAATATATTATATTTATTTGTTAAAGCGCGACCTATTATTTCTGTTTTTTAACACTGGTAATTGGTCTGATGTATTTCGTTTTGTGTTTTTATTTTTTAGGGTTTTAATATCAGCCATACACAAACGAGATTGCTTTCCATGGCAAAGCCTGTATACCATGCTATTGTGAAACACTCTCCCAAGAAACCAGTCCTTGTCTTTGTCCCATCAAGAAAGCAAACACGGCTGACTGCTATTGACATACTCACTACTTGCGCCTCTGATGTGCAACGGCAGAGGTAAGCTGGAATGAACTAGCGTTTTGAATTCTAGGTCTCGTAACAATCTTGTAAACTGATTTTACGAGAACGCCAATCTGGACTTTTTGCATTTTACTTGTTCATCGGCACTGTTTGTCGAACACCTGACTGTTGTCAAATAACACATCTCCCACGTAGATGCTAAGCTTTAAAAGAAATGAAATACAGAAGGGCTCCATACAAGCCTTTCTAATGATTAATGAAGCAACAAATGTTGCAACTTGCTCAAAAAACACTTTCTGGGATTTTCTGGTTTTTATTTAATTCCAGAGAGCTTGCGATTTCATAAAATACATACATAAAATTAGGGGCTACTTTTCCTTATGTGTAGCAGTCAAGTTGACAATGGGTGGGGCTTAAAGCAAGGTTATATGTTGGCTGCCAGTCATATTTACCCACAATCAATCAGTAAATCATTCCCACAGACCTCATGGACGGAGGAGAAAAAAATGACCACACAAGGAAATCTAAGTAAATCCAAGGGAGGGAGTATCAGAATATGTTGTGCTTTTCTTTAGTTTTTCTTGAAATAACTAATTTTATGGCTTCATTTTGGGTTTTGGGCTGTGTTCTTGACATACCCATCATTATTTCCAAAAGTTTAACGTTATTACTGTGGTTCTACCTTTAATTGATTATTCTAAATTGTCTTAAACATAATTTTATCATCTGATCTTGGACACCATTGGCTGCTGCTCTTGCAGGGTAACCTTTGCAATAATATGGGGTAACTCAGCCTGTTTCTGAGTTTCATAAGGTTATTGTTGCCCAATTTTGCATCCTCCTCACACACGTGTTGCACATTTTCTAACTTTTTGCCTGTCATGACATCCACTATGGAATAATCTTTGTAAGGGGGCAAACCTCAGTTCTGTTTCTATACTGTTAATTGCTGGCTTTTTTTTTTATTTAATTTTTTTGCTCCCATCTCCCTTCTTTTGTTTCTTTTTCAAATTTTTACTGGCTTCATCTTCCTGTAGTTAATGAAAATGCTATCCACTTTTGACAATTTTTTTTCCCACCATACTATCCTATCATGAATGCTGTGAGAACATATAAATCACATAGAATGTACGGAAATTGTGTATCTGCCCTCCTACAGGTTCCTACACTGCACAGAGAAGGATCTACTTCCATACTTGGATAAATTAAGTGACAGTACCCTTAAAGAGACCTTGCTGAATGGAGTGGGATATCTGCATGAAGGACTTTCCTCATTGGAGAGGAGAATAGTTGAACAGCTCTTCAACAGTGGTAAATACTGCCATCCTGGATCTTTTTGTCTGATCCAACTCTGTAACTGTTGCCTATCTCATACATCACCTGATCCCCTAGCAACATTGTCTAACTTGTTTGCATTTTGCAAAATCTTTGTCTTCTGTTCTAGTTATATTTTCGTTACTCTCCATATTCCTCATATGCTCTATGCCAAGATCAGTCTTATTTTGCTTTGATTTTGTCACAGGAGCAGTGCAAGTGATTGTAGCATCTCGCAGCCTCTGCTGGGGTCTGAATATTGCTGCCCATCTAGTAATCATCATGGACACTCAGTATTATAATGGCAAGATTCATGCGTGAGTATTGAGTGTCCTGAAATATATGGAGGTTTTTTGGTCTGTTTTTTTTTTTTTTTTTAAAACCTTTTCAAATTAAATATCCTCTCACCGTTCTCACAGATATGTGGACTACCCCATTTACGACGTTCTCCAGATGGTAGGCTATGCAAACAGACCTCTGCAGGATGATGAAGGACGTTGTGTCATTATGTGTCAAGGGTCGAAGAAGGTGAGGGACAAATAAGCTTATGTGTATAACCTGTTTCAAGCTATCGTTACATCATCTTCCATTCTCCAGACAGCGCTAGTTGTTTTCTGGAGTTTTCAGATCTCTATCGCTTTACAGAATTTAAGCCAGATGTTTAAATAATTAACATAACCGCAAATTCCTGTTTGTCAGCCTTATCAGTACTACAATTGCTGTTTTGAAGAACGGCAAAAACAATAGGACAAGAAATCCAAATCCACCTTTTATTGAATGTGTGGCAATATATGTAGAGCATGCAGTTGTACACTAGACATATTGGTTTCAATATTGCTTGATTTTTGTGGACAGGAATGTGCATACAGTCAAATTTAATAGGCAATTTCTTCAGCACAGCGTATACATTATTGGTATTCTAACTCAATGGCGAAGCAACAGTTCACATGTTTTTGGAAAAGAGAATCACTTACATTTTTCAATTCATTAATCTTCTTTGATTAGTGTTCATCTAGTTATTTCACAGCCAATTATTTTAATTTGTCAGCGCTGTCTTATTAAAATTCATCTAAACCCCTTTCACCTGTTTTGGTTTTCTTTTCTTGGCGTGCATAGGATTTTTTCAAGAAGTTTCTTTATGAGCCATTGCCTGTGGAATCTCACCTGGACCATTGCATGCATGATCATTTTAATGCAGAGATTGTAACCAAAACCGTTGAGAACAAACAAGATGCTGTGGATTATCTGACATGGACTTTCCTTTACCGACGCATGACTCAGAATCCCAATTATTACAACCTGCAAGGTGAGTACTTACTGGCACGTGTCCAATGTAAACTCTCTTCCTACAGCCATATTAATATATAGTATTTGTGTTTTGAAATTATAATATTTAGAGCAGCATGGCCGTTATTGCCCATTCTAGCCTCCTGCTGTTAAATTGGGAAAAATGTTTTGGTCCCCTACCTTTTGTATTGCAGTCATACTCCCCTGCTGTGCTTCTGTTTTATTCTGCCTCCTGCTTTAAGCCACTACGGTTTTCTAAACGCCTTGGAGGTTCTGTTTATAAAGTCTCATCTAAATCCAGTTTTCGAACACTTTTTTAATTTTTTTCCCCTTCCTTTTGGGGGTTTGCTCTTTTCTTTCCCCCATGAAGATTGTACTATTGATTGCATCCAGAATATTAGACAAACCAGTAGAAATAGTGCTAAGTAAAAGGAAAAAAATTACCTGTGAAATGTTGTCACTCTGACAGTGATGGGTAACTTTTTTGGACAGAAAATGCAGTTTCTTGCAACTAGGAAACCAAAAATAAACGGAACCGGAAAATACTGATGGGAGAGGCAAAGAGAGAGGTGCATTTTAGTGCAAATATGTGATAAATAGGCGCAGATAGGATAAGTTCCTGAAAAACAGCCTACAATTGAGCACATCACTTTTTACACATAGCTCCCTTTTCTCTCTCATTTAATATCATCTTTTCGATCTTGGGATTTATGTGTCCATTCACCTACTGGTTATTTATTATGGTCTGTAGTTGTTTTTCTTTCTCTAATACAATGCTGTATTTTTTGTTTTGGTGAATTGCTGGATGGGTTCTTTATAAAGTTTTTAGTTTCACAGTATGCAATTCATTCTGTTTTCAGGTGTATCACACAGACATCTGTCAGATCACCTGTCCGAGCTTGTTGAGCAGACTCTTAGTGATTTGGAGCAGTCAAAGTGTATCAGTATTGAGGATGAAATGGATGTTGCACCTCTCAATCTGGGCATGATCGCAGCATATTACTACATCAACTATACAACCATTGGTGAGTAATAAGTTCTCACTTCTCCTTTTTCTGTTTCCAACTCATTTCACTAGTTCCATGCGAATCCTTTTTCTCTTTTTGTCTCACCCAGAGCTTTTCAGCATGTCTCTGAATGCCAAGACAAAAGTTCGTGGTCTGATCGAAATCATCTCCAATGCAGCAGAATATGAGAGCATACCCATCCGACACAGAGAGGATAACCTCCTCCGTCAGGTAAGCAGTTGGTTTTCTCTTTCTTTAAATTATATTTTTGTTTTTAATTCAATGTTTATGGCTTATGGAACTTAGAAGGAGGATTTACCCACAAAGGAAATTCAGAAAATGTAATCTATAAACCAACTCCATTGTTTGATCCTTGTGGCTTTTCCCATGTCATGGATTGCAATAATAGTGTATATAGATATAAAATTGAATTTGAGATATTGAACAAAATTGTCCAGTAGATTCAAGCAATGTGGCTAACAAAATGTATGGATTAAACTTTGTCTCCATAGTGTTTCTTTTTTATTTATTTTTTGCATTACATTTACTGTAAGCTGAGGTTTAGAAATAAACCACAGTTGGTACTGAAGGAAGTCATTGATCGGTGTAGAAGACATATGGATGGTTATATAGGTCATTGGTGGATTAGAGCAGATCAAGGAGAAACTTCAGACATTTGGTATATATATTTAGCACAGTGTGCTTTTTTTGGAACAATGCTAAATTAGCTCTTACGTGAAATGACCAAGAAATCGAAGTATGAGATGGTTTGTGGTTGACATAGGATGTGTTGAAGTTTTGACATTTACCTTCGCTATCATTAAGGACAAATTTTAGCGTTGAATAGTCACCCAGATAGATTTTAAAGTCCGTATATTTTACGAAATAGAAGTATATTGTTCTGTATCAAATACTGAAAAGGTAATTGCCCACAGTAAAAAAAAAATTACATTTTTTTTTTTTTTTTTGCCAGCTTGCACAGAAAGTTCCTCACAAACTCACCAATCCCAGGTTCAATGACCCCCATGTGAAGACAAACTTGCTGCTCCAGGCACATCTCTCACGTATGCAGCTTAGCGCCGAACTGCAGTCTGATACAGAGGAGATCCTTGGCAAGGTGAAGAACTTGGTTACAGTTATTTGAAACCATAACATGCAATTACTAACTAAATCGCATGTATATTTAACTGATATTTGAGGTATTTATTTTCACCATTATTGTTTGTCTCTTCCTACCAGGCAATCCGACTCATCCAGGCTTGTGTAGATGTGCTATCCAGTAACGGTTGGCTCAGTCCTGCTTTGGCTGCCATGGAGCTGGCACAGATGGTGACCCAGGCTATGTGGTCCAAGGACTCCTATCTGAAGCAGTTGCCTTACTTCAGTTCTGAACACATTAAGCGCTGCACAGACAAGGTACTGGTTCCTTACAGAGCCCTTATATGCAGCCATAGTAAACAAATGAAATTCAATGTGGTGGCTTTGATTTCTCCAATACCAGAAAGATTCATATATTTCTCCCAAACATGTGAGAACAACTGCATTGTGGATTATAATATCTGTAATTTATAGGGGTGACATCTTATAAACAGTTTTTAACATTACTTCACTTTACCAGAAAAGTGTATTCTTTATCTGATAGCCCTGTTTTCATGCTCTATAGGGAGTGGAGAGCGTTTTTGATATTATGGAGATGGAAGATGACGAACGCAATGAGCTGTTGCAGCTTTCTGATGCCCAGATGGCAGATGTGGCAAGGTTTTGCAACCGGTACCCTAACATTGAGCTGTCTTATGAAGTTGCAGAGAAGGAAAACATTAGGAGGTAAGCAAATACTGTACCATTTATTTACAGCAAGTGGTAAGTAGAAAATAAGTTAGAGAGGCAGGGAAGAAGAATTGATTAAATGTACATTTGGTTCCAAAAGGATGTTTGATTTAATCTCTCTGACTTCTGTTTGATTAAAGGTACACTCTAGGCCTCATAACCACTTCAGTAATGTTGCGTACCAATTGTTCATTTAGTAGGACTTAGTCTGATAAACAGAAGTTTATACTACTGCTCTGACACCAACTCATGCCATACTATGTGGAAAACAGACGTTTTTAAAATACCAAATTTAGGAAGAAAAAAAAATGTAAATTATGCAAAATAATAGCACACCAGTATGAATATTGTTGTGAATAAAATATGCCAATGTCTCAGTGAGTTGATACTGTCTAAACCTAGTCTGAGTTGGTATGTTGTGGAAGCATGAACTTCCTCTTTATAAGACCAGAACGACTGCTCAGCAAAGTAAACATAAATGTTTCTAAATGGTCTGACAGATTACCATCATACAGTACCTGGGGACTTCTGGCATCATAACCTCTACGGCATATTGAAGTGGTTATGGTGCATAAGATGACCCTTCAAAGAAGCACTGGTTTGCAAAGACCCCCGAATTTAACATCACCGCTGGTGGGCCGGGGGCGGGGAAAGATGATATTTACTTGCATGAACCTGTCTTTCGCAGGTGCCATCTTCTTCCGATGAGCCAACATCACTGCTGTATTCTCGTGCATGCACTAGAGTACAGCATTAAGGTCTACGGAGGACCCTGCAATACCTCAGGATCCTCAATACATACAGCTAATATCTCTGCTAGTGATGGCTGGGATGGTTGACATTTCTAGATGGCAGGAGCTCTGCGCAGTGTTTAGAAGTGTCAGGCATAGTAAATATACCGAGACAAAGTAGTTTCTACTTTGTCTCAGTATCATTTGACTAGGTTGTAATTTCAGTAAAATTCCAACACAGTCATGATGTATGAATATATCTTAAATATTGTATGTGTACTGAAGTGTAACAGTGCCTCTTGAAGTGGAAAAACACAATAAATGGGCTTACTCTGCTTTTATTGTGTGGTGTTTGTTCATATGGTGTTGTGTTTTCCCTTATAAATGCTTCTTTCTTTCTTAGTGGGGGAGCTGTTGTGGTGCTCGTGCAGCTGGAGAGAGAAGAGGAAGTTACAGGACCTGTCATTGCTCCACTTTTCCCCCAGGTATGTTTGACGCTGTATGTGGAAGAGCAATGGTTAGAACATGCAGTTTGTTCCATGTTAAAATATTCTTCAACTCCTGAATGTTAACATGTCACAAACCAAAGAAAATCGGTCATGGATCATGATTATCTGCTTTAACATTAATAGTTTGCTAGTCTCTGTACAATGAAATGTCACACTGTACATGTATGCAAATTGTACATTCGTAATTGACCAATCGTAAAATGAGTTGGAGTTGAAGTGTATTTTTTTTTTTAATTAAAGATGGGGTTTGAAGACTTCGTGCCAGAAGTTAATTTTGTTAGAAACTCAGGGCAATTAAGCAATCCTTTTTTATTTACTTATTCTTTCTTCCTTCTTTCTTGATAATGGAGAAAAAGGAAAGTATAGGTGAAAATATTGTCACTGATTTAGTATCTGTACTGGGGCTACTAGTTCTGCATCCCAGGTGTTTGTCTATGGCGGGGAAGCTTTGGTGGTCTTTAAATGGAACCCTATTACGGCAGAGGTGCTCAGAATGCCTTGCTTCCCAAAATGTGGTCTTTGCTTCAAATGTTATCAAACCATACAAGGTGGAAAATAGCTGTTTTCTAAATGATACCTCATTTTAAAAGAAAAAAGCTTAATTATGCAAAATAACACATGAGTATGAATATTATTGTGACTAAAATATGAACTGTTTGGTAGTAATAGGGTTATATATTAGGTGGAATGTGTATATCCTGTATCATATTGTGTTTTTGGAGTGCCAGGTTGGTTTTGACTGATAACACATCTTTGTTTTGTTCTTTGCAGAAACGAGAGGAAGGCTGGTGGGTGGTAATTGGAGATTCTAAATCCAATAGTCTGATTTCCATCAAGAGGCTGACACTGCAACAGAAAGCCAAGGTGAGGCGCTATTCTCAATAGTTCTTGTAATAGTAAGACCACGTAAAACACTTCCGATTAGTAAGTAAACATGCTTTGTTGTATCCAAGGGTGAATTAAATTTATGTACAACTGTGGCATTTTATTACTTCAAATGTAAGTTGGGTTTTTTTTGCATGCATTGTGAAAAACTAATTGTATATAGCTACACTTTGGGCACCTCATCAGGAGTAGATTGCCAGGTGCATGCTTATCTAAGAACGTATTAGACTGTGTTATGAAAATATCTTGGGAACTGCTAGCCTTCTTATATTTAGACATAAATTGCCTGTTTATTCTTTATTGGTTAAATAGCAAATTTAAGTTTTGTCAGTGTAAGGGTTTATATGCTTTGAGCAGAAGTTGATAATTACAATGTTTTGGATGATATATATATATATAAAATGTTTATTTTTTTTAATTTGGCTGTTTTTCCTTAATGTAACACCGAGACACAGCAATAGCTGTTGTTGTAAAGAACATTTATGAACTTCATTTGAAACATCAATCCACTTATTTCTATTCTACAGGTAAAACTGGATTTTGTGGCACCGGCAACAGGAACTCACAATTATACCCTTTATTTCATGAGTGATGCTTACATGGGCTGTGACCAAGAGTACAAGTTCAGTGTGGATATCAAGGAAGCAGAGAGCGACAGTGATTCTGATTAGAAGGGGCATTCAGGCTTCCGTGAACAGAGCAGATTGATACATAGGATTCTAAGTGAACTTGCTCCCAACTGACTGTTTACTTCAATATTAATTTTAAAAAGCTAGTAGAAAAGAGACAAATTCTGTTCTCCCACATGTTGGTTACTGTATATATCACCTAGCAAATTAGCCTGCTCTTGGGGAAAGGTATGAATAATGAGCAACAGGATGTTCTCCAGCAGTATGAAGGCATTGCTCCCTGCATGAACATGCCATGTAAAAAAAACTAAATGCTACACACACACAAATTGCGGTCTTTGTATTGTTCATTTGTTGTTGGATTCCAAAATAAACTTCTGTTTTTGTAATTTAACTATTTATTGGAGAATGACATGTTTGAAATTACCTCTAGTGGCCATCCGGAAAGACAGCCTTTATATTAAAATGCCTGCAGGAACAGGCTATAGAGAGAAGTATAGATAGATATCTTTCACAGCTTTATGGCAACATGTACACAGATTAACAGCACACGCAAACAAAACTACGGTTTTAAATTTACAAGTCTCCTATCTTGGCAAACAAATATGGGGATTCAATTACACCATATGGCCATATTGTGTTAAGCCCACCATTGTCACAGTACCCCAATATCAGTTGGTCCTACACTAATTCTAACATTTGAGATGAACATGCTAACTGCAAAACTGCTTCTGAGACTCTTAAAAAATTCCTGTGGCTTCCTGCAAAGGGGCACCTATAGTGGAGGGGTGGGATGCTCAACTGAAAAGGAATCTGGTCTGAATTACAAATGTACAGAGGAAAAAAAGGAATTGGGAGCACACCTGGAGCATATGAGGAAAGGCTCTATAAACAGTTTAAGCCAGGCTTCCCTAAACTCCAGCCCTCCAGATGTTGAATTCTCAGCCAATTTCATTCATAGAATCATGGGAGTTTTAGTTCAGCAACATCTGAAGAGCCAGAGTTTGGGGAAACCTGGTTTAAGCATTATTGCAGTTGGCATGTTAACCCCCTTAAAGACGGTGGGCATGCCGTCCTTGAGGACCCGGCTCTAAACGCCGGCGGGCGGCATAGCATGTCCCTGCCATTCTATGTACTTGCCCACCCACCGGCGGGACTCACCAGTGTTTGTGACCAAGTGGCTACTAAAAAAAAAGATTGGACATACCCCATTTGCAATACCTTGGGTTGTCTACTATTGCAGATGGTATGCCATAATGGGGGTAATTCACATTCCTGGGCTACCATACACTCTCAAAGACGACGTAACCAATCTGGCAAATTTCATTGTGAAAAATGTAACAGGCTAGATTTAACCCTGTAACTTCCCAAAACACTATAAAACTTGTACATAGGGAGTACTGTTTTACACATGAGGCATCACTGGATACAAATATTTTATAGTCCAGGTTATATTTACGTTTTGTTTTGATCACGTGTACTGTTTTGATCACGTGTACATTTGGTCCTGTTTTGATCACGTGTACATTTGGCTCAGTCAGGGGTTAATCACCAATGTTACAATTAGTGTAGCACGAACAGATATTGGGGTACTGTGACATAATAATGGGCTTAACACAATATGGTCATATGGTGTTACTGAATTCCCATATTTGTTTGCTAGGTGATTTAAGTAGCATTGTAAAATTGAAATCTGTATTTCTGAACATAATGTTACACTTTTTTTTTTTTTTTTATAAAGACTTTGACAGAACCTTAAATATCTGTATATATTACATTGTTTAAAATGTTGGCCAATTTTCTCTCTCCCTTCAATTTATATAAGTTGCCTAGTTAAGAAAAAGCTTTTAAGAGCTCGAAAGAAAATGTGATAAGTTATGTAATGACATTTACATACTTGTAACCATAGCACGCAATATTGTCACATTGGAGCAGTGTGAATGTGTTAAAAGCACAGTCTTGGAATAACATTTTGTGCTTTTCCTGGGCCCTGTCATATTAAAGGGATACTCTAAGCCAAAGCTTGAGAAAAGGGAGCATGTACATTTTTTATTTTATAAAAAAAAAAAAAATTTACCTGCTCACTGTATACGTTCTTATAAAATAGTAAAATGTTTGGCATAAGAAATAGTGCCTGGCTTTAAAGGGACACTCAAGACCCCTAAAACACTTGATTGTTTTTACACTAACTAGGGTGCCCTGCAGCACCCAGATAATACCGCCTCTTTAGACAAAATGGTAATGTGGAATTTACATTTCTGCATTGTCAGCAACCATTCCTTGCAGCCTGGAGAGCAATGATTGACTACATGTGCTGAGCAAACTGAATACCCTCATCTCCATAATGCATGACTTCTCTACATTAAGGGTTAAGTGAGAGATGTCAGAGCCACACACGATAGGAAGGACAACAGGTGGATAGATTAATAGGGGGAGGTTGGACAAAAAAGAAATGCAAAGGGATATAGGCAGAATATAGGTAAGAGGAGGAATTTATAGAAGAGGATATATAGTAAGCCCCTCCCACATACACTGCAATGAGATTGCAAAATCACAAACCATTAATTTGTGTTTAAATTAGGGATCAAACGATATTTAATTTTTTTTTTTTTTAGAGCAGATACCGATAATCTGTGAACTTTCAGGCCGGTAGCCAATAACTTACCATTTTGAAAAATAAACTATTTCTACACAAATCTACTGTTAACTAAAGATGTTTAATTTTTTTTTGCAAATTTAATTTTTATTAAGGTAAATGCACATAATATACATGCCAGTTAAAATTTGTTTTCAAGAATGTGTGTGTAGTGAGTATTTGAATAATGCAGAGTGTTTGTGTAGGTATGTAAAATGGGGGGATGGTGCGGAGGGTTGCCATGGTAACCAGTAGCAACACTGACTGCAGCAGGACTCGCAAGATTCAGACGAGCGAGCTTGCTGCAGGCTTGTCATGGGCCCTGCCGTCCTGGTCTGTATTATGGGCAAAATAGGTATCTTTATAGGCAGATACCAATATTGCCACAAATACAGAATATCGTCCAGACCAATAATCGGTCGATCCCTAGTTTAAATGGTATGTTTTCTGTAGGAAGAAATTGGCAAAACTGCTAGGCCACATGGATTTGCAGTACATATGGTTCTTCTATTGTCTGTCTCTTGCCCCTATGGCTCTTTTATAACAACAAAGACTGTGGTTTCAAATGTCTAACAAGGGTGTATAAAAAGACATTGTAACATTGATATTAATGAAAACCTTGCCCCAGAATTGTAATGAATTAACATTGACTGACCATTCCTGCCAGGGTTCAGTAACCTATTCGAGGTGCCTTTGCACAACACTCAAGGCATATCAGAAGTCCCAATAGAACTTCAGATATTTTCTAATACAAACCGAGCAGTGATTGCAGGTAGTGAGGTACAATCCTCAATTTAGGCATTGCAGCACTTATGAACAGGAATCCCAACAGGAGTAGAGAAGCCCTCAGCAGCTATCACCATTCCTGCCCTGGACCCCAGGGATGTCTCCCACACTGCTAGATATACACAGCATTGCAGAATAGGCCTCCCCATCATACAAATAGCACACAAGCACACCACCACTGACAATCGTCATACACTTGCCCAAACAGCACTCAAATGCAATACCAGAAGTTGTCCCACAACAAACACACCATTCCCCAAGCAGCCCATATTCATAGATAGATACACAATACCACTGCTCAAACATATATAATACAATTCTACAAAGCAATTGCAGCAATCATAAAGAACACAAGCAGAATATGGCAGCATACACACCTCAGTTCAAAAAATAAATATATATAAATAAAATCTCCATCCGACAGGCCGGGACATTTAGATTTTGTTATGGCACATTACTAAAAGGTTGCTTATCTCTGATCTATACTTTTAAGAATAGCCTTATGTTTGCCAGCATCTTAAAATGTCATAGTAATGCTGATTTGTAAAAGGCAACATTTAATATCTTGTTAAAGGAAAAAAAAAAAATCCTGCAGTTCTTTATATGTATAGCCTCATTTCAGCATTTATCTTACAGAAAGTTATTTCTACCTCAAATCGGTATACATGGAACCTTAAGGAACAATATTCGCTTAAGGCAGGTGTGCAGTGTACTTACCAATAAGTATTTTCCAAACAGCATGTATGAGCATTAGTAAGTACTAGAACACTTTTATTCTTACCAAGTTATACACAAACTATGGATTTTATGTATTGAACCCCTTATATGTTAATTACTAGCACACATAAGAAATACCATCCTATTTTGAGATTCATTCTGTGAAATACGTTGACTTGAAGTTTTGTAACTAAACAAATGTTGATATTTGGTTTCTCTAACATCTTGTTTCTGTATAACTACCTTTTGACAAAAGAAATAAAAAAAATAAAAAAGATTGACAAAAAATACCAGAATAACAAATCCAAGGTTAAAACATATCAATGCAAGAATAGAGTATGGAGGTCCTAATTTTCTGGTAAGAAGTAAGAGATCACTCTTCAGACATAAGAATTGAAATTCTTGAATAATATTTGTAGTTTAATAAAGCTACAATAAAATCCAATACCCGTGGAAGGCAGAAGATTATCCTATGCTAATATAAAGTCAGCTCTTTAGAAGGGCACAACCATTAGATTGTTTCATTTAGAGTTAATCTGAACGTTGGTACTGCCAGAATGCGATCTCTCCATCATCACTACATGAAGCCAGCAAACCAGACTCTTTAGGGTGCCATGCCACACAGTTAACGTCCTGAGAGTGGGCACGAGGCATATGAGCTGTTAGAGAAAAAGTAGGCTGCAGTGGATCAGAGCCGCTGTCTTCCTCAAAAACACGAATTGCATCATCTCCACAGGCTGTGGCAAGAGAATTTGTTAAACGGCTCCTGTATTGAACAGATCAAGGAGAAGATGCAATATCAGAGCAGTTGTCCCATCAAAACATGTACATATTGCACAAAAAGCACGTTTAAATCCTCACCAATCTACATCATAGATGGTCCTTGTATGGTAACCAGTCAAAGTACATACACACTTCCAACTCGCCTCGTCTTTGCTCACTCCTGGATCAGAAAAAAAAAACAATTGTTTCATGATACAGAACAAACCTTAAAAAAAGAACCATCAAGGATGGTTTCTTATTTGCTCACCAGAAAAAAAAAATGCCACTGAGGCGAGGAGTTCAGTGGATGTAAGTATAAAACATACCTCTCTGGCACTTCTGGACACAGCCACCTTATTAGAAAATGTTTTACTTCAAAAATGCTGTACTTACCAGAGAGATTTTACGTTAGCTTGTGAAATAAAAATAGTTTGGATACCTCCAAAACCAGCACAACCCACAAAAAACAGTTAACATCCATCATCTATCAACACTATCCTTACAACCTGCACATTATATACAAATATTTATGATCACTAAAATGTATGTTATTCTAGAAGAATATTTAGTCACACATGGGTAAAGCATCTATGCTACTTATCTAATAATTTTGCACATTGACGCACGTTTCTTTTCAGCTATGTAACAATCAAGTTCAGCTTTCCTCACATATGTTTTTGCTGTTGATCCAAAAGAAGTCATAAAACCCAGTCTGAAGCGCTTCCAATTTTGAAACAAACTAGGAAAAAAAAAATCCTTCTTGACCCCAAAATAGCAGTCAGATGTCTCCTTGGATCAAGCAGCTATCACCCCACTAATTAGAAATTATATCCCTGTATATTATGTTTTTGGAAGTATTTATCCAATTGCAGTTTAAACATTTGTATCGACTGATAAAACCACCTCTTCAGGCAGAGAATTCCTTCCTTATAGTGCTTACTGTAAAAAAGCAGAACACATCTGAAGTCCCCCTAAGTAATAAATCACCTAACCTTTTTCTTCAGCAGCTCCTTGCTGCTTCCAGATGCGCACTGTCTTGTCATCACTGCAGGTGGCCAACCTCTCTCCGTTTTGATCAAATGCCAAGCTCCACACAGTGGATGTGTGACCCTCCAGTGTGCCACTGCACACCCAGTCATCCTCCTCTTCCCGGTACAGTTTGACAGTGTCATCATAGCTAGCTGAGGCCAACAACTGGGAGGAGAAAGAAAGCACGAGTCAGTAGTAAGAAATGTACATTATTAAATGGGGTAAGGAAAGAGTTCACTGCCTACCAGATTTTGGGCTAAAAAGTAAAAAAGTGATTTTTGCAATTTGTTGAAGCTGATATATGACAGTCCAAGTCTCCTGTTCATTTTAGGTGGGGGCACATATTCAATTCCTGATATTTTTACCTATTTTATTTGGAAGTAATAAGTTGAAGAACATCAAAATATAACTAATTCTCACTTACCTCCTGGTTAGGATGCCACACTACATGCTTCACATCTTGTGTGTGTGAGTTGAGCACACTGACACATTCATACTCCTCCTCTTCATCCACTGCAAGAAGGGGAAAATGGTTTTAGGCATTGCAGCACATGCCTCTTACTCACAAGACTTATTTTGTTACAAAGTAAAAGTACTAAGGTGGGTGTAGATGTGTAAAGAGGCACCCACTATCTTTTTTTAAAGCTTCACCAAACATTTTATTAACAAGTTAAAGAACAAGATTGAGCTGTCCTGAAACTCAATGCAGCATGAACTTCAAATTTCCAAAAAAAGGCTGCATAGCAGCAATGTTTACCCTTCATCTCCCTTGCTAAGACGCAGCCTCCCCTCCAAGGGCCTCAATCGAAGTGACCACAAGAAATTACACACATTAGGGGAGCCCGTTAATCAAATTAAACAGTAAATCTTGCAGCTCTAATTGAGCATTTTTATCTCACGTATTAAGATTAGTGTAGGAGCCAGCAATATTGGAGTGTTTGAAGTAATGTTGGGCTTAAACATGGTATGGCCATATGGTGTGACTAAATCAACATATATATAAGAGTTTATACTGTATTTTGTGTATTTAACAAAGCTCACCTTCCCATACCCAAACACTTTTGTCACGGCTGCAGGTTGCTAGAAGATTTCCAGAGGGTGCCCAGGCTACTGATTTCACCTCATTTTCATGTCCCTCGAGAGTAGTGACACACTAAATAACAGAAAATATTGATATAACTTCTCTGGACAGTAATTTAATGCCAAAACATGACCAAGGATCGAAGGAGAGCACTAAGTTCTTCAGAAGTGTTTAAGGCAGAGTAAATAAATTACATCTTTAAGGGTTATTCCAAGCACCACAACCACTTCAGTGATCTGAAATGGTGCTTTGAGTCTGTAGGTGCTGCACTTCAGTTTAAAACGTGTCACATGCAGACATATAGCACATTACCTCTGGCAGAGTCATTGCCCAGAGTGGGAGTTCCAGGCTAGCTAATGTTAATTCTTTGCATATTAGGCATCTGTCAACAGCACATATAGCATGCTGGCAACATTTGGCAAGTGGTGGCACAGCCATCCCCTCTACCCCCAAACTGTCCAAGTCCTCCCCTCAGCCGGTCCTCTGGGACGTTACCTTCCCATTCCAGTGAGGGGGACTGAAATCACTGGAGGAGGATCAGCCTGCAGGGAGAACTTGGGCTCAGCAGGGGATTTAAGGTACAATTTTGCTTTTAAAGGGATCTCAGTTTCATTGCCTCCTACCTCAAATTCCTCTTTTTTCTTCATCCAAATGCATGTAGTGGCATCAAAGCTTGCAGATGCCAAGTAGTTTCCACAGGGTGACCAGGCTACTTTTCGCACTGTGCGTTGGTGCCCTTCGCCAAGGACTGATTTACACACCCAAGAAGCATCTGAAAGCGGCAAACAGACATCTTTTGTATCAATGTGATACATAGAGGAAAACAATGTTAGAAGCTACCTGCTCCACTTTAATTTTCATTGTAGTTGCCACAATTAGCAGTGATTTCTGTTCCAGAAATCAAGTCAGCCTGGAATGAGCCTTTAAAGAAGTCAGCGATAAAGCAAGGAAAAACAAATATAAAATACCCAAGTACTGATTATGTAATTGTAGAAGTCAGCAATATTATTACATTTTACAACAGGGATGGAAACATGGCTGCCCTCCAGCTGCAAATACACCTCTACACAGTTTCTGATAAACACGTCACAGACAAAAAAAAATGACTAACAGCATAGAGGAAAAATGTTCGCAGCCAAAACCAACTATTCCATACATTAGCCAATACACTAGTATATATTGTATCTGTCTCTCATTCTCATGTCACCCTAATCATATAAAATATCTGCTTCCCACTGCACCCATAACTTACAGGACGCAAAGCACCAGTTGTTCATCAGTTTCACATACAGCATCTAAATCTTTGCCACTTTTATACAGGTATCACATCAAACATTTCTCACTTTCTTATCATGGTCATAAATACCCCCCCCCTCCTCTCACATTCAAAGGGGCACTATAGTTACCAACAGCTTTTGCTTTTTGAAGCAGTTTTGGTGTATAGATAACACCTCTGAAGTCTCACTGCTCAATTCTCTGCCATTTAAGAGTTAAATCACTTTTGTTTCTGTTGATACAGTCCTAGCCCCCCTGACACGGCCTGCATAAAAGAAAAAAGAAAAAATATTGTTTTAATTTTTAATCAGATGTAACCTAAATTAAATGTTTTTATCTCCCGCTCTGTAAATTGAACTTTTATCACATACAGGAGGCTCCTGCATGGTCTAACAAGCTATGAACAGAGCGGGAGACAATTTCTAAATGAACCCATTAAGGACGGACTTACCTTCCCATAACCAATTGAACACATTCTGAACAAAACAAAACCTGGAATTTGACTATATGTTTGTTCAATCACAATTTACTTCTGTCCTATTAAAAGGAACACTAGAGGCACACAGACCCCCTCAGCTCATTGACGTGGTCTGGGTACAGTGTCCCTATTGAACTTAGTGCTGCAATGTTAAACATCTCCCAGACAGCCACTGGAGGCGCTTTCTGCATCCAAACGAACCGTTGTTCCGGTACCTGACGTGGGACGTCCTCACGCTCTGCATGAAGATATCCAGTGTCAGATTTTTCCCACCAGGAAAGCACTGATTCAATACTTTCCAATGGGGAGGTCTAATGCGCGTGCAGCATTTTCTGCGCATGTGCATGAGCACCAGCTTGTCGCGGAACGTTGGCACTGGCATAAAGTAATTAAATAAATGGTGTTTAACCCTTTATTTGATACGGTAGGGGGGCGCAATGGTTCCAGGAATACAGCTTTGTATTCCTGGCACTATAGGATCCCTTTAAGTGCACCCACACTTATATATCATTTTGTTCAGGAGAAACAGAGCTTTCATTTCACATCAAATATTCATATATGAAACATAATTTAATATGAAGAAAATCTAGAAATTAAGAAACGTTATTGTTTTAGTTTTGCGTGGAATTTTAACTGTGAATGTCATAATACTGTTGGCTTTCACTGCAATTAAATACACATATTTGTATTCAGCGATGTCAGTACCCCCCATGTACAGGTTTTATGGGGTTTTGCAAAGTTACAGGGTCAAATATAGCACATCACCTTTTTCAGTTTTTACACACTGAAAGTTGTCTTTCAGACCGTATGGCAGCCCAGCAATAATAATTACCCCCATGATGGCATATGATGGCATACCATTTGCAAAAGTAGACAACCTAAGGTATTGCAAATGGGGTATGTCCAGTCTTTTTTTTTTTATTTAGCAGCCAGTTACTCACAAACACTGTCCAAAGTTAGCGTTCATATTTGTTTTTTGCGTTTTTCACACACAAACTGCACCTTCACTGATTATATAATCGTTGTGATATGTTTTACTGTTTTGAAACACTAATATTTGTGTTCAGCGAAGGCTCCCGAGTATAACAGTGCCCCCCATGTACAGGTTTAATGGTGTCTTGGAAAGATGCAGGGTTATATATAGGGCTATATATACACAGGGTTATATACAGTCGTCAATGTTTCAGTTCATATACCAGGACTTTTATTTATTTTTTTTAAGGTCCTTATATATGGACTGAAACACTGACGATTGTACAAGTGTGATTTAACACAAAGAGGAATACACTTATTACGAAGCCCTTCGGGCTACAGTTCTGTAGATAGAGATATATACACACACACATACATATATATGATCTAAGTACTTTATATACACATGAATTTCATTCTATTTTGATATTAATGTGTGTGTGTATATATACTTCTGAGCCACACACCAATGCAGTTATCAAAACTGCAACCTATCTAGCCTTTAACGGCTTTCTCAGGCCAAAACAATAACTCACTATCAGCAGCCAACATCATAAACAAGAGTGCCTGTTGACCTCTTATCTTCTAAAACACACAGACCACTATGTCCGGTCCCTTCCTAAAACTAAGATGAGTCAGAGGGCAGAGCCAGTGCATATAACCTACTACCTTACAAGCAATGCTGGGTGCCCGGTTAAGGTACTGATTACGTTCTTGGGCACGCCACCATACACACCACTGAACCATTACTGTCGCTGTACGATACTGTCCTTACCACAGTTCATGCACTATGTCCACCTACTCATTTCACCGGGCTCGAATTAAACCCTAGCGACTACTTTAGGATAGGAGCAGCTTACACAGCCTATAGTCAAGACATACCCGCACACGTTAAGACACGGGGCCGTTGGGAATCATAGGCTTATGCGATTTACATACCACAGCCGATTCAGGAATTAGGAAGCTTTCATTAAAATGTCTAACTGATGGTTAACAAATGCACTACGATCCTGTATAATGTTTTGCATTAATATGTCTCTTTTTGCCCACTTTTTACCGGCCTACAGCATACGTCGGTTTCGGCACACCTCAACCGATTATTCCTAAAGCTACATCTCTACAACCCATCTTATTCTATATCATATGAGAATGCCCCGAACATACATACATACACATATATATATATACATACATACACATACACATATATATATATATATATATATATATACACACACATATACACACACACACACACATACACACACACACACACACGATCCAAGTACTTTTTTCCCCATTAATAAGCGGTGTAAAACGTTTTGATAAACTTTATTTTCAGGCATTGGGGAACTGCCTGACATCCCAGGCAGTCCCCCTGCAGGCACTGCACATGCTGGCTATTGTGGCCATGCGTCGCGATATCAGATTTCAGGCAGTCCCCCCAATTGCCAGTTGGAATGTACTATGCCACCCGCCAGCATTTAGGATTGGCTCCTTAAGGAATGCATAGAGCACCCACCATCCTTAAGGACCCGAGGATTTGATGTAAGTTACATGCAGGGAGGGCTGCATTAAAAACGTGATTTTACTGCTAAATGGCAGAGAACTGAGCAGTGAGACTGCTGGGGTATTACCTATATACCAAAGTGGCTTCATTAAACTAAAGTTGTTTTCAAGACTATAGTGTCCCATTAAATAAAGATGTAGAAGCACAACAAAATCATGTTTTACCTTTAAATGAAAAACATATTCGATCTACATCATCGTTCTGGTTTCCAACAGGTTAATATATTTACCACATAATATACTATTTATCTTGTGGAATTCACCATTGTAGCTAGGCAGGAGCTGAATGAGAGTGATGGGAGAAGCAGTCCATCAATCATACAATAAAAGACAACAGCAGCTAAACAATGATCCACTTAGATACACACAAGGCCTGTAAATGAGCCTACACAGCAGACATCTCAAACGCTGGCCCACATGCTACTCTTGTTCTGAGCTGGCTAATGACACCCTAATAAGGCTGCTGGCGGTGAAGACACACCTTCAACAACAAAGGGGTGCAACACCCCTGCACCGCTGCTGCACAGATAGACTCCAAGCACCATGATTGCTGTAAATCACCAAAGAGGTCATGATGCTTTAGGTAATCCTTAAACAAAAGAGCGGAAGGTCATTCCTGTACATGCACACACCATCTTTGCCCCAAATCCGGATAATCCGATCGCCTCCACACGAGGCCAGTAATGTTCCGGTGGGATTCCATGCCACGAACCAGCAACGGGAGTCAGGGTGAGCAGAAACCCGAGTCAGCAGGGTAAGGGAGTCCTTCATCCTGGAATAACCTGCAGGAGAAAATAATCACAACTATAACCCACAGATCATCACCATCCACCATTTATGTACCTCATCCTTTACACACATTAAATATTTAAACCCTAAGTTTTCATCTTCTGAGACTCATATCTATCTTCACTCTTTGCAGTTTCATTCAGTTTCTGAAATACAATAGCAAAGAATTAAGACAATATTTCCCTTGAAATAGAGTATTTAAGGCAGCTATGTCACTCCCAAAAAACATTATGAGCATATTTTAACCCCTTAAGGACCAAACTTCTGGAATAAAAGGGAATCATGACATGTCACACATGTCATGTGTCCTTAAGGGGTTAACGGATGTCATATTTATGAAATGCTCAAAAAGAGTGCATTGGTATTTCAATTAAATTCAGACACAGTCAAAAGATAGCATAAGACAATTTCGCTGATAGCTAGACAATACTATGAAGGCTGCGGAAGTCTATTGTGATCCCCCATAATGTTGTACTCTTGCACATGCACATGGGCTCCTGGTGGATGAAGTACCATGAGCTGAATATCGAATGTGGTGACACCAACAGGGGGATAGCATAAGGCCACTGCACCAAGAGGAGATGTCACCACAGGGAGTCTTTGCAAAATATGCAAGTCAAGAGAGGGTGACCGGTCCGCTATAAAACTAGTAAGCCAAATTAGCTAGAATCATGCACTCTTCTCATGTAATGCTGCAACAAAAGGTAATGTTTATGTCACTGATGAAGGAAATAGTGTACAGCAATCTAAATGCAAATGTAGTAATATCAACATGTCTTAACAAGACGCACTCACACATCTAATTTTAAAGTTAGCTCTGGGATTTAGACACTATTATTACCAAATTCAATTGAACTTTTAAAAACAAAATTTTACTAGTAAATAGTGTTGCCACCCTAAATATTGTACATAATGAGCATAGTTGTTAAAGGGATATTCAAAACACCATAAGTACTTCATCCCATTACAATGATTATGCTGGAGCCAATGGCATTACCCAATGGTTAAGTGTTAATCAGTTTCAAACTATTTAATATTAACAGGGTTATTCACAAAAGTAAGAATGGCTGAGAATTCATAAATAATCTCAAACGTAAGGCAAAAATAGCCAAAATGAACAGGGTTGACTTGGAGAATTTTTTTAAAATAAGCTATTTAAGCCAAAATGTTGAAATTCACTTCCATTTCCCGACAATTCTCACGTTACTGTTGATGAAGGTACTGGACGCCCATGACTCCGCAACACACAACACTAACTCTCCATCCAACTATCGTCCTATCTCGCTACTGCCTTTTGCATCCAAGATCCTTGAAAGAATTGTGTATGCGAGATTGACAGACTTCCTCGAGTCCAACTTTCTGCTAGAGCCGCTTCAGTCTGGTTTCCGCGCGAAGCACTCTGTGGAAACTGCACTGACCAAAGTATCCAATGATCTACTCGCTGCAAAATCTCGTGGTCACTACTCTATCGTAATTCTCCTTGACCTGTCTGCGGCTTTTGACACTGTTGATCATCAACAGCTTCTTCTCATCCTCCGCAATATCGGTCTACAAGATATTGCTCTCTCCTGGTGCTCCTCCTACCTCTCCCAGCGCTCTTTTAGTGTTTCTTTATCTGGCTCTGTTTTATCTCCCCATCTCCTCTCTGTTGGTGTCCCCCAAGGTTCAGTCCTTGGTCCCCTACTGTTCTCCATCTATACTGCCTCCCTTGGTAAACTCATTAGCTCCTTTGGCTTCCAATATCATTTCTATGCAGATGACACGCAAGTCTACCTGTCCTCTCCCCGTCCCTCTTGACTAGTGTCTCTGACTGCCTCTCTGCTATTTCTAACTGGATGGCTGCCCACTTCCTTAAACTAAACTTGACCAAAACTGAAATTCTGGTCTTTCCTCCCTCAAGTGTTGTTACTCCTGTGTCTGTCTCCCTCCAAGTTAACGGTGCTACCATCAGCTCCACCATGCAGGCTCGCTGCCTAGGTGTTCTCTTTGACTCAGACCTCTCCTTCAAGCCTCATGTTCAATCCATTGCCAAATCCTGTCATTTCCATCTCAAAAACATTGCGCGCATCCGACCCTACTTAACACCAGATGTGACTACGGTGTTGGTCCATTCCACTGTCCTTTCTTGCCTTGACTACTGTAATTCGCTTCTCAGTGGTCTTATGTGCTCCCAACTTGCGCCGTTACAGTCCATAATGAATGCGGCAGCGAGGCTCATCTTCCTGCCCGCCTGCACCTCCCATGCCTCACCCTTCTGTCAGTCCCTACAATGGCTTAAAATTCTGGTTCTTGCTTTCAAATCTCTACATAATGCTGCTCCCACCTATCTATCTGGCCTAATACACAAGTATGTCACGTCTAGGCCCTTACGCTCTGCTGAAGACTTACATCTATCTTCTGTCCGTACTCCCACCTCTGATGCTCACCTTCAAGATTTCTCGAGGGCTGCGCCGTTTCTGTGGAACTCGCTTCCCTCCTCCGTTACATGCTCACCCAATCTCCACTCCTTCAAAATATCGTTAAAAACCCACTTCTTCATAAAAGCGTATCAATTAAACTATTAATAGCTCCTGACTGATTCCTCTTCTGCAACTGTCATTAGTCTAATACTATCCTTACCTTTGTGTCATTTTACCTCACTCCCTCTAGCATGTAAGCTCATTGAGCAGGGCCCTCAACCCCTCTGTTCCTGTGTGTCCAGCTTGTCTGGTTACAACTACATGTCTGTTCGTCCACCCATTGTTAAGCGCTGCGGAATTTGATGGCGCTATATAAATAACATAATAACAACACTGCAGGAGATATCGCTAAGGTGGAATGCATTTCTGCATTAGTCGCGCCAATCGTTTCCAAGCAATGAATGGCAGTGATAGACAGAGAGCACTGAGCTGATGCTCTGAGCCAATCACTGCCAACCATCTCTGCTCAGGCTCATGTGGCAGCATTTACCAGAGCAGCAGTGAAAACAACAGTTTAACACTGAACAGTTGACAGTGCCTGGAGACTCCAGGCACCATAACTTCTTCAATGGTTATCATGCACAGACTGTCATTTTTATATACAGAAGCTGCATATTCAGTAGATCTGATAAAAGGAGCTTCGGCTCAGCATGGTTTACATGATAAGACTGCACAGCCCAAGATGAGAGGCTTGTGATAAGTGGAGCCTTTTTCAGGTCTCAGCTCTTTGCTGCTGTTAGGTATCCCCCCTACTTTTTCAATGCATTTGCCATATATTAAATAAAGGAGAGGGGGGAGAGAGAGCATTCTACCATGGAGTGTCTCTTTAACCATTACTCCTTTTACAACGGTATGCAATGTCCAGCCCCTACCCCTATGCAGTGACTAAAGCGGAGTTGGACAATTTGTATAAAACATAACAATGTGAACAGCTAGGAGTTTACAAAATAGCCACATGTTTTGCAATCTGGATATTTATGAATTCACACAAGCTCTAGCAAGTCCCACATGCTGGGAATTAAGTGTAAACGTATAACTATAGTTAATAAACACTGTGGGTGCCAGCTGTGATTGCCACATCCACCATGTTTCACTGGGACCCTAACTCCCCCATGGCAGTGTGCAGGCTCCACACACTGTGGGACCCTAACTCCCCCATGGCAGTGTGCAGGCTCCACACACTGTGGGACCCTAACTCCCCCATGGCAGTGTGCAGGCTCCACACACTGTGGGACCCCAACTCCCCCATGGCAGTGTGCAGGCTCCACACACTGTGGGACCCCAACTCCCCCATGGCAGTGTGCAGGCTCCACACACTGTGGGACCCTAACTCCCCCATGGCAGTGTGCAGGCTCCATACACTGTGGGACCCCAACTCCCCCATGGCAGTGTGCAGGCTCCACACACTGTGGGACCCCAACTCCCCCATGGCAGTGTGCAGGCTCCAAACACTGTGGGACCCCAACTCCCCCATGGCAGTGTGCAGGCTCCACGCACTGTGGGACCCTAACTCCCCCATGGCAGTGTGCAGGCTCCACGCACTGTGGGACCCTAACTCCCCCATGGCAGTGTGCAGGCTCCACGCACTGTGGGACCCCAACTCCCCCATGGCAGTGTGCAGGCTCCACGCACTGTGGGACCCCAACTCCCCCATGGCAGTGTGCAGGCTCCACGCACTGTGGGACCCCAACTCCCCCATGGCAGTGTGCAGGCTCCACGCACTGTGGGACCCCAACTCCCCCATGGCAGTGTGCAGGCTCCACGCATTGTGGGACCCCAACTCCCCCATGGCAGCCCCAACTCCCCCATGGCAGTGTGCAGGCTCCAAACACTGTGGGACCCCAACTCCCCCATGGCAGTGTGCAGTCTCCACGCACTGTGGGACCCCAACTCCCCCATGGCAGTGTGCAGGCTCCACGCACTGTGGGACCCCAACTCCCTCATGGCAGTGTGCAGGCTCCACGCACTGTGGGACCCCAACTCCCCCATGGCAGTGTGCAGGCTCCACGCATTGTGGGACCCCAACTCCCCCATGGCAGCCCCAACTCCCCCATGGCAGTGTGCAGGCTCCAAACACTGTGGGACCCCAACTCCCCCATGGCAGTGTGCAGTCTCCACGCACTGTGGGACCCCAACTCCCCCATGGCAGTGTGCAGGCTCCACGCACTGTGGGACCCCAACTCCCTCATGGCAGTGTGCAGGCTCCACGCACTGTGGGACCCCCAACTCCATGGCAGTGCAGGCTCCACGCACGACTGTGGGACCCCACCCCCACATGGCAGGCAGGTCTATTTCATGACTGTGGGGACCCCCAACTCCCCCATGCAGCAGTGTGCAGGCTCCACGCGACTGTGGGACCTCATCCCCCATGGCAGTGTGCAGTCTCCACGCACTGTGGGACCCCCAACCCCCATGGCAGTGTGCAGGCTCCACGCGACTGTGGGACCCCAACTCCCCATGGCAGTGTGCAGGCTCCACACACTGTGGACCCCAACCCCCCCATGGCAGTGTGCGCAAGCCCCACGCGACCGTGGGGACCCCAACTCCCCACATGGCAGGCAGGCTCCACGACTGTGGGACCCCAACTCCCCATGGCAGTGTGCAGGCTCCACGCACTGTGGGACCCCAACTCCATGGCAGTGTGCACTCCACGCACCGTGGGACCCCAACTCCCCCATGGCAGTGTGTGCAGGCTCCACGCACCGTGGGATCCTCAACTCCCCCATGGCAGTGTGCAGTCTCCACGCACTGTGGGACCCCAACTCCCCCATGGCAGTGTGCAGTCTCCACGCACTGTGGGACCCCAACTCCCCCATGGCAGTGTGCAGGCTCCACACACTGTGGGACCCCAACTCCCCCATGGCAGTGCTCCCCATGGCAGTGTGCAGGCTCCACGCACTGTGGGACCCCAATTCCCCCATGGCAGTGCTCCCCCATGGCAGTGTGCAAGCTCCATACACTGTGGGACCCTCCATGATGGCATCACAGACTTTACTTCCAGTGGGAAAGGAACTCTGCACACTCTTCACGTGCTGCCGTCAGCCTGTATAATGGATATAATGGGTGTGATGGCCGAGCACCCCCTCTCTCTGACACTGATCCCTGGTAACCCGTGCTCCCGCCGTCACTCTGTGTACCGTGCCGTGCAGTGCTGGCTCCGTGCTCTCTCCTCACTCACTTCCTGCTTCTCTCGCGCTGCCTGTCGGGATGTCACCAGGAGAACTACACTCCCCGGCGTGCCCTGCGTCGCTGACGTCACGATGACGCAAGGAGGAGGCGGAAGTCAGCTGTGCTGAAGCTTCGAGTACAGGAAGAAAAGGAGCCGAGGTGAGGGGATGTGGTGGGTGGCTGCGGGGGATACCGGGCGCCGTACCGCCATGGGGGGCCTGGCAGTCACACTGTATGGGGGCGCTCTGTGTTGCCTTACTGCGGGGGGGGACCAGGCTGGGGCTCTGCCTCTCTATTACACGGAGACTGGGGCTCCAGACTCTCATATCACCGACCTAATGTGTGACCGTATGGCTGGCTGAGCATCATGGGAAATGTAGTCCAAATCACTGATAGTGCCATGACTAGCCATCACTGGGTAATGGCTGGCTGAGCATCATGGGAAATGTAATCTCTAACATGCAGAGTGCTAAACATTGACCAGCAATACAGGGAAAGAGCGCTCCATCTCTGTGTGAGTGTTGGTAATCAGTGGGCTGTTATCATTCAGGCAGACTGAGGGTTGTTTTTGTCCCAGTCACTTCCTTGTGGTCTCTCTTCCTTGTAACTTCAATCGCTGTCTGCACAGGGAGCGAGTTTTAGGCCCTTTAAACACGAACTTATGGTTGTTTGCATTGTGGTTTTCACAATTTTATTACAATTTTGTTTTGTATTTTGCTTGCGCACATGAACTATATTTAGCTTTTGGTTTGCCAGATTGACACAGCTTAGTCCTAAATTAAATCTGCATACAGAAGCCATTTTTTTTGTTTTATATACATCACTATCTAAATGTTATTAAAAAATAAATTAAAAAAATCTAGAAATAGGTCTGGCACACTTTGAACACTTGTACTCCAAAATGCATATCCTTCATTTAATAGATTCTAAACATTTTAGACTTTTAAAGTTTTATTTAATAACTCCATTGCTGACACCATAGGCACTGTAACTGCCTCATCTCATCAAAGTGGTTATAGTGGCTGGAGTTCCCTTAGATTGTCATTCCATTTAGTGGTAAATAGGTTTTAATACCAGGTTTATTACTAATCTTCAACGGCCACTCCCCTCTGTGCTGCTTGAGTCAATAAAGAAGCATTAGCCTGAACTGCTGTGGTTAGCAATGATTGACTGAGAGTGACAACTGACAGCCCATTGCTGGTATGAATTGGTAGCCTTAGCAATACCTCCAGCAGGTACTGAGCTGTGAACAATCCTCATTTAGTGTAAAATTATTCCAATATTGCTTAATGTTGAATGGAGGGACAGTACCATGAGACTTCAGGCACTATGATTAATTCAGTCTTTCGAGAGAGAGGGAGAGAGAAATTATGTATTCCAGTCGGCAACTACCTCATATTGTATAATGTTTGGGATATCTTTCTGTTTATCACATTGGAACCCCCCTCCCTTATATTCTGTAATTTACCTTATGGCAGAGGTTATCAGGTCCCAACAGTCCAACTGTTCCAGTAGAGAATCCTTGCCTCTTGAAAATGGCAGATAATTCCACCATGGGTGTGGCAACTGAATACACTAGTTGTTTTTAAATATGTATTTTACTGCATATTTGTGAGATTTTGACTTAAAGGGACATTATAGTCAACCAGGCCACTTCATCTCAATGAAGTGTTTTGTGTGCAGTATCCATGTCCTTTAAATGACCACTCTAGGCACCCAGACCACTTCAGCTTAATGAAGTGGTCTGGGTGCCAGGTCCTTCTAGGGTTAACCCATTTTTTTCATAAACATAGCAGGTTCATGAGGGCAGGACATTGACAGTTGGTGTTCTACAATAGGACAAGCTGCTTCACCCAGTCAGGGACATCTCATGTCAGTGCTCTGGCAGGCAATGCACATTGAGTGGCCTATTACCCAATTATTCTATATAGCGTGGTCACCTGTATACATTCAGCTGCCATTTTATCACAGCTGCGCGAGCCTGATAGCAAACGTCTGTATTTGGCTTCACTGTGATATTTTATCACCTTGATTCTTTACTTAATTTTCACTTCCTCTTCATAACATCTGCTTTTTAACCTCTCACAAGGTTATTCACTAAAGCAAGAATTTAAGGTAAAGCAAAGTGAATTCGAAATCTCAGGTCGAAATAGCCTCACTGGAATAATTCTCTTTTGTCAGCTGTGCTTTCAGTTTGACTGCTTTGGCCTTAAATTTAAAATTCACTTTGATTTCTCTCTTTAGTAAATAAGAGTATCACTCTCCAAAATCACTTTATAGTGATTTTAACTTCGGTTTTAAATATATATGGAACATATTTCCTTTTCTTGTTAAAGGAACACTTTGGCCACTCTGACTGCTTCATTGGAGAGTTGTTATGGTGCCAGGAAGGAACTAGTGCCATCTTACTTTCAGGAATTAAATCGTTCGCAAACCCCAAAGTCTAGTATACAGTGCCTAATTGCTCTGCCCCTCTGCTGCTTAGAATCTTGAGCCAATCGGTAGCTCGTAATTAAAAAAACAAAAAAAAACATCCTGAGAAACGTACAGATTTCTCTAAAGCCATTTTGTGAATGGGGAACTACTTATTGGTTTAGAGCACCATAGCAACAAAGACATAATGGCAACATAATAACTTTATTCCAGTCAAGTTGTTATAGTGCCCAGAGTGTTGTTTTAAACTGTGTTGATGAGCCATTCTCTAAACCATAATTCTTTACTTTGTTCACTTATACAGAGTCATACCTCTCCTCTACTCCCAAGATGTTTACTCCCGGCGGGTCCGGTGGTTCGTCCGTGCCATTGAGAAGAGGTCATGGAGCCCATGCACTACCTAAGCAACCAGAAAGGAGCTTAGCTTCTGCTTTGCCTGGTGCATTGTCCATTACTGCATTGTGTACTGCACTGGCAGAACCAGCCTGGCTCCATATTCATGGGGGTACATGTACACGCCAAGAGCTGGGAGTGGCAGATGTTCTAGGTAGTGAGGATCCTGAGCTGCTTACTGGTAAGTAATTTGATTCACTCAGATAATAAAATGGACCTCTCAGGTGTACTAGTAATGTAACCGCGGCTGGTTCCCCTATTTACCACTATAACATCTTAAAGCATAGAACTTAGTAGGGCTAACCATACAGATATCTTAGCCATAATTTTATATAGTTAGTGTAAGAGATCCTCTATTTAACATATATAAATAATTGAGAATACTATATAAAATAAGGATTGTCTTGGAAGCAATAATGTTTTGTCTTTTTAGATATTATATAAAAATATAAATATAGACATATAAAATCCATTATAGCAGAGTTTCTAAGATTAAACTAAATGCTTACAAATATCATTAATAGGTTACCATACCCTTCTGAACATGTTGTCATCATGTCAGCCTCTCTGTCATTTTAAGATGGAGCAGCGTCTGACTCCAAGTCTCTCCTCTGTTCCTTAACATTTAAAAGTACACCTATTTATACCTTAAGTGTCTCCATTTTAGGGTTACCCTAGTTCATATATGAAAAAGTAACACTTCTTTTACTTTATTCATTTTAGGACCTCCCTTAACTTGGCAAACATATAAGGCCACAACTAAGGGTGTACACGTCATGGAAATTTTCCTGACTTAGTTCAAGATGGCATCTTAAAGTCTGGACATCCTTATCTACTAAGGTTACCACAGTATATTACGTACTGAAAGAGTTGTAGCATACCCTTGAAGCTTATTTATGCATTATTGTTATTGTAATTCGTCTGGGACAAAATGGCGTAAACATAATATGCACTGAGGTTATTGCTTAAAGAAACATGTATGAAAAACAATATGTTAAATTTCTAACACCTTGTCAGTTTGCAATATCTCTTAAAGACAAAGTACACAGTTTAAGAAATACAACATTTCATTCTAAAACTTGTAATATTTGCATTTGCCCATAAGAGTAAACTTGTAATATCTGCATTTGCTGACCTGCTCTCTTAGTCTGCAGAGGAACAGGTTATTTCAGCGTGCCACAGCATCGGAGACAACATCTAACTTCTCCCTACTTTCCCACTTGGCATCCAGTCCACTACCCCACTAATGCAATGGACTGTTTGCTATATTTCTTGATACCTCTCACCACTGATTGGTGGGTAGGATGGGATATAGGCAGAATGTTTCTATATATCGCTCTACTATATATATATATATATATATATATATATAATCTCTAAAAAAAAATAATAATAATCTTTCTCTAAAAAATAGGGTGTACTCACAGGTCTTCGAGAATATCATCTTCAGAAAGACCTGCACAGGTTGAAGCGTTAATTTATATATTCTTATATGAATCATCACTAATAAAACCACATTCATGGAGACCTGTGAGTGAGTTTGGTTTTTTTTGTATGTGAAAGAGTGGATATATATATGCACACACAAATGCAGAAACTCCACTCAACTAGAAACTAGCTTCAAGATCCAGAAATATTTTTAAACCACCTGTGGTGGATAAGCTACAATATATGGAACATATATCCAAACATTACATAAGTCTGTCACTAATTACAGAGTACCCCATTTTGGCAGCCTACCAACTTAAGGGCACAGTGTATAGAGTCCCCTGGTGCCGCCCTTCCATTCACTGTTAAACCGTTTTTTTATGTTTTAAAGGGACACTGTAGTCACCAGAACAACTACAGCTTATTGCATTTGTTCTAGTGAGTAGAATCATTACCTTCAGGCTTTTTGCTGTAAACACTTTTTTTTTTCAGAGAAAATGCAGTGTTTACATTACAGGCTAGTGATAACTTCATTGGCCACTCCTTAGATGGCCGTTACAGATCCTTCCTGGGTCATGGCTGCCTAAAATACATCCAAACATTCAGTGGACAGGTCTAAAGGAAACAGGGACAAAACCTGCAGCTTCAGGATTGAATACAAGTGACATTTTACTATATTTAGGGAGGCATGAGAGGGACAGGGGGGCTAGATGGTGGTTTTAACCCTATAGGGTAAAGAATACATGTTTGTGTTCCTGACCCTATAGTGCTCCTTTAATACTACATGAGAATCTTCAGCAGACCGTACCATCTGTGCTACTTCTGCTAAAAAGAAACCATTAGCCTGAGTCGCAAATGGGTGACCATGATTAGCTAAGAATGTCAGCTTATTGCTTCCAGCCTATCACAGCCATCATTGCTGGCATGCATTGGGATGGCTAGAGGGAAGTGTGTACTCACTGTCCTAGCTATACCTCTAGTAGGGATGTTCGGCTGTTGGTGGGCAGGTACCCTAATTTAATGTTAAACTGGTGGAATATTGGGTAGTGCCGTTGAAGGCAGCCTTTGGCAATCCAGATGTTGTAAACCACATTGTAATGTTATTACAGCTATAATGCTAGCATAGCATCAGGAGAAATGTAGTCCACATATGGAGTGCTGAATGCTGCCTAAGCTGGCCTAGAGTCTCAATTTAATGACTGCTTATATGTGATTATCCCACAGATAGAAAAACAGAAAGTGTGTGTGTATATACGTACACAGAAATGAAAAGGTGAATCTGCTAACTTGTTCCCTGCATTGTCTTCCTGCAGATTATTGCATGAACCGACAGACTATACTCCTCCTCCGTGTTATTGCTGGATTCTGCTTCCTGGGTATTGCTTGCAGCATGACTGCCTTCCTTCTGGATGTTTTCGGACCCAAACACCCAGCTCTTAAAATCACTCGGCGTTATGCCTTTGCCCACATCCTCACAGGTATGGAAAAGATGCTAGGTGTTAGATTGGTCCATTGTATAGAACCGTGCTTTAGTGTACGCTCTGGAAAGAAGAGAGTGGAGTTCTGATGTTATTCCATAAACTCCTGTCCAAGATGGAATTGTGGGATAACTAGTTTATTCTCCAGCAGCAGTTACACTCATCACAGAAGATGAAGGGAGCTAATCTATAAACAGATAGCAGCCACAATGATCAGCAGAGATGATAAAGAGCATACATACAGCCATGACTATCTCTCCATGGAGGAGAGAGACATATCAGTCAAAGTTGTGCATGTGCAGTAAACATGTTGCAAGTACAGCATGGCCAAATTTGACACAAACTAGAAGAATTCCACCAGCCTGATTGACCTATCTGCAGCACTGTATTATAACTGACAAATGTTTACTAAATTACCACCCTGGGAGCTGAGAGCGAGTAAATTGTACTCTCTAAACCAGGGTTAGCCAACCTTTGGCACTCTTGTTATGGACTACATCTCCCATAATCCTCTTAACCCCTTAAGGACCAAACTTCTGGAATAAAGGGGAATTATGACATGTCACGCATGTCATGTGTCCTTAAGGGGTTAAAGCCATAATGTTGAAAAAGCATCAAGGGAAACCATCATCTGAAGTGCTGAAGTATTTTGTCCCCTGTTCTAAACCATAAACTTTGCAACAAAGCAATAATTAATAATAAAGTTGTCATGGTACTTAGAGTTGCCTTTCATGATCAGTAATTGAAATAATTTCCTGATTTGCACCAGACTACATGCTTATTAAATTCAGATCAGAATTAGGTCACAGCCATTTTATTTCCTCTTCTCATATATATATATGAATACCGACCCACTGAACAAACTGGTTGTAAGAGGAGAACGTCCACTTACATCAGTAGGAGCAGACTTAAATGGGCTCCAAACGACATTCTTATTGTTTCAGCATTGAGCCCATGTAAGTACCTCTCAGTGTTCATCTTATTTTCACTGAAATATAACATTGCTAAACTATTTTCACATTCTACTTTTACCTTTCCTGGCATGTGCATACATATAAGAAGTGTAGATTGCAGTCACATACAAATCCATCCGTCTTGATAAGTATATATTACCTAGGCTTTAGAAAAGCATATAAAGTAATCATCACATGCAAAACTGAGTCTTTTTGTTTTGTTTATTAAATTGGTACATTTGTATAACAATGAATAGTAGATGATTCGATATCGTACAGTAAGGAGAAAGGAACCATATCGGAAAAATACATTGGGACTCCTTGTAAAATTGAGTCTTTTGTGTCTCTAGTATGAACAAATTAGAGCAATGCTACCACAATATGATATTTCATATAACAGCAGTAGCTGAACTAGGAAAATATGAAACGCTTATGATCCTACTTGGCTCATCGATTATACATGGGTAAGTATAAGAAGGAGCATTATCCAATAAAAAGACAAACAAGCTAACTTGGAACGTACAACTGTGCCTTCCCCAGAAACCAAAGTACATCCATTTTTAATACTATTAAGTGACAAGCCATGGCCAATGCAAAAGCTGGAAGTAGCAGTTTCATTTAGTAATAATTAATAGTAAAAACCACAAACCACTTGCACAAGTTAAAGGGACATGCCAGGCTGGAATTGACCCTCATTTTGTAAGTCCATTATACAGAAAATGAATAAAAAAGATGCAAACCTGAATAAATATGTGTGTATATAATACTGCTCTCCTTTATACTTACTGTATACCTGTTAAATGCCTGACGCTTGTCAGCAAAAATCCAAAAGCCAGTATACAGATAGCACTCCCAGGAATTTTTCCAAAATTAGTAAATTTTTACTTTTTAATTCTTTATTTTTACGTGCATGAGATTTATACATAGTTCAGCATATGCATCATTTGAGAGGATAACAGGTGACAACGTTGGTTAAATAATGGATTTGACAAGTTTCAGCACAGTTTTTGTAAATTATAACATGCATAAAATCCTAGGTAGAGGGTGAGGTCGTGTGTGAGTGTAGTCGAGCTACTCGTCTGCGGATTCGATACCTAGGTCATGGGTCGGTGTTGGAGGAGTACATTTTTAGTTTTATTAGCTACACAAAAATTAAATTAAACAACATTTCGGTTTACAAAAACAACTTTTATCAAGACAGACCACCACAGAAAAGGTCAGTTCAATTAAAATCCGTTTTAGCTTGGAGTAACCCTTTTAACCCCTTAAGGACACGTGACATGTCATGATTCACTTTTATTCCAGAAGTTTGGTCCTTAAGGGGTTAAAGAACTGTGAACATTTTGTCATGCATATTTTAGTTTTACAATGTGTTTATGTACATTGTGATTGGAACTGAATAGTGTATCAAAGTGCAAAGGAGAAAAGTAATTTCTGCTTCAGTAGTTTTTGTTTTATAATGAACCTAGAAATATGCACTATACTAAATTTTTGTTTTCTGTTTAATCCCCAGTTCTGCAGTGTGCGACAGTAATTGGATTTTGTTACTGGGCCTCAGAACTCATTCTAGCTCTACAGCAACAGCACAAAAAGTACCATGGTTCCCAGATCTATGTCACCTTTGCTGTCAGCTTCTACCTGGTTGCTGGAGCTGGTGGTGCATCCATTTTAGCCACAGCAGCCAATCTGCTGCGTCATTATCCTACAGAAGAGGAAGAGCAGGCTCTGGAGTTGCTGTCTGAAATGGAAGTTGACTCCTACCCTAGTGAGTACGATGTCATGAACCCCTTCCAGCCACCTCCTGCTTACACTCCATAAAAGGGTCAAACGATGAGAGATGACCCACGCAGACTGTCTCCTTGTACCAGAAAGCACCTGTGTGTGCCATTGCTTACATTGATAGGAGGACATTCTAGCCAAATTGTACTAGATATCGACAGTCTTCTATCCTTCCACAGCCTGGTCCTCACAGCAGACTTTACCCCCCTATTCCTTTGCATCCCGTTATTTTCCTCTGTATATTTCTGCGATCATTCACAAGACCCAAAATTTGCTTCTCTGATGTTCCTTTTGAAACCGCACCTGTCCTCCGTTAAACCATTTGAGAAGATACCTGAGGAACCTTTAAAAAGGACATGGAAAAGACGTCATGTTGGACCTACCTCTTACCATTATATGGTACTGACAGGAAACAAGTGATTCTATTTCTTGTTTGCGACTGTTGGCTTTGCTAATCCCAAAATAATTTTGCTTGGGGTAGACATGAGGCTTTACCTATGTTATGGTAAGCCATCACACAGCACTGAGATATTCTGGATGTTCATAGAATTTGGACTAGGTGGGATATAGGTTTGTGACCTGTCAGGTAATGTTCAGTTATTAGATGCAAATTAAGTTGCCAGTAGACTCTAGGGTAGCATACTAAATTTGTGGTTTTCCATCTAGATAATGATGGGCTATCCAAACATTGGCTTGGTCTACAAATTGACACCTGTCCTAAGCTTTAATAGGGTTGGGTGGGGGGAACAGCAATACATACTCAATGTATCAGAGTATGAATTATGGATATCAAGCACTTTGGTAGACCGTCACTTAGTTAAATGGGGCTGTTTCTGTACTCATTGTGTGTATATGTGTGTGTGTGTGTGTGTGTGTGTGTGTGTATATATATATATATATATATATATATATATATATGTGTATATATGTATGTGTGTATATATATATGAGAGAGTTTGTTTTTCAATATGGAAATATATATTTTCCCCTTCTGGTTTATGGAGATGCACAGATTTAACAAAAACAAAACCGTAATATATCTAATAGAAGGAAAAAACAGAGGAGACCTATTGCAGCACCATTTTTCCGTTTTCACAGCCAAGCCTTAAATACTAATATAATCAACATATTTGTACATTTTTCAAATGAATAGGTGGACTGGATGATTCATACTTGGGTAAATGCAAAAGGAGCTATGAATTAAATGTCAGATGTTTTCAGTTCTTTTTTCAAACCTCCCTATTTCTTGAAGTTTTTGGGGCTTGTTTTTGTTCATTTTTGCTTATATGTGTGTGTGCAATAATGTATACTTATTATTTTATACATTTATATGAAAAATATTGCTATTTTATCTGTATATTTTTGCCCTCGTCGACTGTTTTAAGTAGTATGGCTGAAAGCTGCACAATATCTTGTGTTAAGCACTCATAGAGCTGTTCCATAATAAAGTAGGATCAGCTTGTCCCAGTTGAAGAAAACATGTAAACACTCAAAATATTTTAAGCACAGTGCAAGGAATACATCCTATAAGAATATTAGTTAACCAGTACTGATCAGACTGCCTACAAGTGAAAAATGTGGGAAGCACATATAGCTATCCACGGTGTTTATTTATTAAATACGAATGCTCCCAACAGTCCCAAGTCAGGTGGGACATTCATGTAATGAGATTTTTCTTATACAATTGTGGGCTTTGTTGTTTCTTTGCCCTGCTTCTGGAGACACAATATACATTCAATAGAAAGTAAGGTGGAACATTAGATGCATTCTCTATTGAGCAAGACCATTACCAGGTATTTCTGATCTTGCAGGCGTCTGTACATATTCAGGTCAGTTTATTTATCTGACCAGTTTGTATGTCAACTCTGCCTCCCACTTTGCATCAGTGGGAAGGCATATCAGCATCATTGCTATGCCCCCTACTGTCCAGCTTCAATAACCCTCAGTGGGGATATGAAATATTAGGCTGTAGTTATGTTCATAACACAATTCCAAAAAGTAGGTGAAATATTGGAATTAAGGACCCATCCCCAATTCTATAATTTTAGGTCAAATTGTGGAACTCTGTTTTCAACATAACTACTAACTA